ATCTGATACAAAACTGCATGAAACATTAAATTTCAATATGATACGGCGACGTCACAATAGCTAGAACAATTGATTTACCGGTCTATATTGGAGTATGTATGACCGACCGCTAGAGTTCTTTAATGTAATTCTAATATGATACATGATGTCACAATAGCTAGAACAATTGATTTACTGGTCTATATTAGAATCGTAACAAGGACTTTATGATCTATCTCAAATATATGAACTCAAAGGACCTTATACACCCTCCATTGGGATCTCCCCATGGGGAAAAAATAATTCATCTGATTTTTCAAAATGAGTATTCTGCTTCAATTATTACATTTATATGCACACTAGTATCTTGTTGACCTATATTCAGCACTGTATTGATGTATAGGCCACTTATTAGGGTCATAATTCAATCATGAAGTGTAGAGGCATAGATTCCAAACCAGGAAGTATTTTTTTGTCTGTCAAAATCCATTTACATCCTACGCATCCCTGCATCTTATCCAAATATGTTACTACATAATGAAATATAATAGTATAATCTTTGGTTTTACAAACTTGTATGATATTTGATAAGTGTAAAAGTTGTTCTTGGAGCATTTTTCTATAGCCATTTTGTAGGGGAAAAAATGTACAATCTTTTAATTTTAAGTATGACCTGAATCGATTGCAAACTTCATATTTGCACATTTGATGAGATAAACCATTTGTGTCGTATTTTGAAATTATTAAGTTTGCAATCGATTCAGGTCATAGTGTATTTTTGGTATTTCTGTGATAATCAATGGAAACCAATGGCCTCTATTGGGATCTGCTGATATCCTCATGTTAAGTCAATGGTGCACTGCCCCATGTAAGTCAATACAACCTTACTGAACGAAATGATCCCTATCTCAGCTTATGTGTGTCCGAGCACTTTAATATTTTCCAAAGTATTATATGACATTTTATTCTTCATGTTACACCTACGAATGATTCATTTTGACCATAGGGATATTTGCCAATAATTGCACCTTGTCCTTTCTTTCAAAGACCTCAATCGCCATGTGATTTCGGTCTTTTAACAATGAACAGAATAAAATTTTCGGTCATATATTACACCATAAGTCATAAATTCTCGGTCTTTATTCCTTACATATTCACTATTTTTCATAGGATATGGAAAAACAAATATTCACAATGATGCCTCTATATTCATTATAACACAAAAGATGCATCGTTATTCATTAAAAGTGTATTCTTACAAATTCATCAGGATACATACAATAATCTGAATGGAAATTCACCAGGATTAATTTATATCAGTCATGAGGAATATTCATTCACCACTGAATATGTGGTATATTCATTCAATCTCATAGTTTTCTAGAAAAAAATATTCACAATGATGCCTCGATATTCATCATGACATAAAATGCATCGATATTCATTGAAAATATATATATATAACTTTTATTGACATATTGTATCATTACATGATTACATTAGTCACAACTACATGTACTCGCTAAGACTGACTAAAACATTTACAAAGTATTAGTAATGTACAAAAATTTCATATGCATATTGAAAGCATGAGAGGCAGAATATTTTTAAGTGTGATGTACAAAATACCCTGACTATTCTAAATGAGTGATATATAAATTTACCAAGATGCCGTTGTATGATGGTATTATCATTTGAAATTATATTTGTAAAGAAATTATCACTATTTAGATCAAATTTTTGGTAATGTTTCAGAAATTTTGCTGAAAAATATTTGCCTGTGTTGACAATGCTTTGTACAATTTATGATAAAGTGAAATTCATCTTCTACACATTTACATATATTACATAATCTTTCATTTACATGTTTGAATTTTGGCTTTGTGTGTCTTCCTGTTTCTATCCGGGGGGTTCACTCCAATATACCTCTTAATACCTATGTGCCGCGCCAAAGACCCCATTTTTGAGCATTTTTTCCATGTCAATTTCCTCTCAAGATTGAAAGTTTCCATGTATACTTCCTCTTGGACTTATAAAAGGGAGTAAATTTCCTGAAATATTGGTGTATAACTATAAAATCCACTTTTTAGGTGATTTATCCCAGACCACAGCAACTGATTTTAGCCATTTATTGCCATTATTTGTAGAAAAACTGATTTTTGACTTAAAAAAGGCTCTCTCTTCGACAAATTTTCCATGTTTTTTTCCTCTCAGATTGGCCAGCTTCAATGGTTTATGCCCTAAGCCAAAATTGCCCCTGCTGCACATGCCTACCCAAATTATTTAGAGTGAATCCCCCGGGTGTGAACTCAACCTAAATCTACTTATTGCTAATCTATATTTTTTATTGTCTCACTTTGTATATGGTTCTAATGCAAAATCTTTCTAAAACAACTTATATGTTCTTAATTTGGGATATATCAAAATGTCCCTTTTCCAATTTCCTACAAACATATTCTTTAATGTCTTGTCAATCAAATTTACTAAGTGGTCTGTAATTTGACTTTGGTCATCCCAATACTCTGTTAGTTCACATTTATGAAGTATATCATAAACTTTTCCAGACCAAGATTTAAACCCTAATTCATGTTTTCTTGTCCATATAAGTAAGCCTGGTTTAAAATATTAGATTCTGGTAGTTTAATAAGTCTTAACCAGTAGTTCACAATTGATAATTCAATTTTGATAGATAAAGGAAATTTACCAAGGTCACCATACACTGCGGGATTAGCTGTTTGAGTTTTGACACCTAAAATAGATTTTAAAAAAGACAAATGTATTGTTTCAATTGCTTTCATCTTCATTGAATTTCTTATACTGCTGTTTGATTTTGAATATTGCCTTTCGTGATTGTTCTTTGAGATAACTTATATTGATATCAAATTTATTATTATCAGTAAGAATTACTCCTAGATATTTATATTTATTTACGCGTTCAATTTCTTGATCATTAAAAGTGAAAGGGCAGAAACTTTAGAGTTAAAAACGAGTACCTTTGTCTTTAAGGTATTAACTATAAGTCTATTAATTTTAATGAAAGAGAAGAGTGAATCTAATAATAACTGAAGTCCATCTTGTGATTCTGAAATGAGTACTAGATCATCCGCCCATAGTAGATGGTTGAACTTGGCATCTTTTAAAATAACGCCACATCTTAGTGGTAATACTTCATTAAGTCATCTATGAAGTGATTGAACAAAAATGTACTTAAAACACTTCCTTGCAAAACTCCTATTTCAGTGTCAAAAGTTTCGGTGATTCCATTTTCTAATTTAAGGCATGACTTAGATTTAGAGTACATATTCTCTATAATCCTGTACATTTTAGTATGTTGGTGAATTCCAGCTTTACACAGCTTATATAACAATACAGAGCGATATATATAATCAAAAGCCTTCTTAAAATCAATCATACGTGCATATAATGGTTTCTTATGCTGATTGAATTTGTTCATTAATGTTTGCAAAATAATAATATTATCAATAACTTAAGTTTATTTACTTCAGAGTAAAATGTTTTATTTTCGACGTTTCGCTAATCATCCAACTAGCTTTTTCAAGATTCAAAATGGAAATACACAGTTATATTATTTATGACGTAATAATTGAACAATACAATACCCAGGTAACAATAAACAACACAATAATAAACAATGACAATAAACTATGACAATAAACTACACATAGAAACACCAATGTTTGGCTAGGAAACAATTGAAATATCAATATAAATTCATAGAAGTTTATAAAATACAGGGCTTATAGGATATCCTGCATCCCTGTTTAACATTGGTTTATACTGCTTTATATAAACTGCCTCTTTAACTTTACGCTTGAGATTATTATTTTCTGTATCTATCACTGAGACATTTTGCCAGTCAATTGTATGATCATAATCAAGGGAATGTTCTTTTATTGCAGATGCCATTACATCACCATTCATTGTACTCCTCTTATATTCTTTAATTCTTGTTTCTAAATCACGCCTGGTTTCACCTATATAACACCCCTGACACTGCTTGCAGTTGATCTTGTATATAACATTAGATCGTTTTTCTGTTTCCACATTGTCAATAATTGAAAATAAAACATTTTACTCTGAAGTAAATAAACTTAAGTTATTATTAATATATTACCAGAGTGATGAATTTACACAGAAATAATATTATCAGTTGTACGCCTATTTTCTTTGTAAGCACCCTGAAGTGGATCTGGTGAATTTTGCACTCCGGCATTAAAGACAAGACAATATTGTATAACTGAGTCAAATAAATTCCCTATACAGGCCTGAGGCCTTATCACGCGCTCGTCACAAGATTTGCATTTGCGTCTGCGTTGTGTTTGTGAATCTTCCTTCTGCTAGAGTATATGTTCTATTATGTATATTCTGCAGCTCAGGTACAACTTGCATTTTTCTTTATAGTATGTAAGAATATTCCAGAGAGAAGCTTCCAGAATACATTTCTAGAATTCAGGTTTGATTGGACATCCTGATTTACATGATTAAATGTTTATAGTTTCCAGTATATATATATCTTTTATTGACTCTTAGAATGTCATGGTATGACATATTAGTCAAGTGCATTCTTGAAGGCCAAGGTTTAATGATTCATTCAATTAGTTTTCTATATCAAGTTGTTATAACATTTTGACCTTGACCCTGTTTCCTCTGATAAAGAAGAGTTAAACTAAATGTGAATATAGTTGAATAACATATATCACAATTGTAACATCTTACATATCCTCTCACTTGCATATCTTATCCCTTGCATGCCCTATTACTTGAATGTTTTATCACTTGCGTGTCCTATCCCTTTCATGTTCAATCCCATACATATCATATCATTTGCGTATCTTATCCCTTTCATGCCCTATTACTTGTATGTTCTTTCACTTGTGTGTCCTATCCCTTACATGTTCAATCCCATACATATCATATCATTTGCTTATCTTATCCCTTGCATGCCCTATTACTTGTATGTTCTATCGCTTGCATGTCCTATCCCTTAAATGTTCAATCTCATACATATCATATCATTTGCTTATCTTATCCCTTGCATGCCCTATTACTTGTATGTTCTATCACTTGCGTGTCCTAGCCCTTACATGTTCAATTCCATACATATCCTATCATTTGCATATCCCTTGCATGTCCTATCCCTTGTGTTGCATAACTTATCCCTTACAAGTCCCATTCCTTGCACATCCAATCCCTTACATGTATGATCTTTGCATCGGTTCCAAAGTTTTCACTTCTTGGTCACAAGGATGGGTTATTGTGAAGTGGAATCTTTTGACTTCATTGTTTATGAGTCAATTGAAGCATTAATGTTGTAATACACTGGGGTAGGATGAAATCAGGGAGGGTCTGACAAGATCAGGAATTTTAAATATAAGAAGTATTGAACCTTGATCTGACCCCCTCTTGTTGATCCATACATTATGCATTTAATACAGGAAGCTATGAGCACCATGCTGCATCCTTCATACACTTGCCATTGAACCATAATGTCACCATTTTGTTAGCATCACTCAAATTGTTGAATCCTGGGTCTTCAATCGGGTGCCATTCTGACACAGCAGCTTGGCTCTGAAATGTGAATTTAATTATATAACAGCAAATCCAAGGCATAGCATAACCCATCAAACAGCCATGGCTGCCATTTTTGAAATTGGCTGGCTATATTAGCCAAGTTTTCATTAGACAGTGCAATACATAATAAAATTGAAACAAAATCACTCCACTACTTTTCCAATTAAGAACAACGTAAAATCATGCCCGGTGATCAGACAAAATGGATGGAAGGGGGAGTTGGCCATTTCTGCAAGAAGATTCAACAGATCTGGAAGATTATATTTTTCAAGAGAAATTTGCAATTGAATTGCTAAATGAATAGGCGCATGGTATGGTAAAATATGTTAGGTCTTTTGGGATGTTTTTTAACCAATTCGCTTCTAAGATATGAGATCTATTAAAGAAGGTGCCTGTTTAATAGCTTGCGCTTTTCATACAGAATTGTGTTTCAGTTGTGCTTATTATCCTAAACATGTTTCCACACTTAACAATAATATATGATTTCATTACCAATGGCACGGGGAAAAGTCTCCTAAAGTTCCTTCTGTTGAAATGCTCCATGGCGCCATATTTTAGATGCACCTTATTTGCTGGTGTCAGACACCTATGACACAATTTACACACCTAGAAATAGCAAGAACAAACAGGCATTATCAACATGACAAAATGTCATCACGTCCACATTCAAATATGAAGCCAGATCAATGGTGGTGACAAAATTACAAGCAACATATACACTTGACCTACCAATCTATTCTTTACAATTCAAGCGCAATATCACCCAAAATATTCACGATATGTTATAAATCGGTGAAGTTATAATGGATTCAAAGCAAAAATGGGTGAAAATAAATTCCTTCCTTCCTTACCATTCTTACATTACATTATTTACATTATTGTAAAAATCTTAAGTTTTCCTGAAGTGTGCACTTTGGGGATTTTTAGAGAATAGACATGAAAAGAAATGACATAAGCTAGAAATATTCTAAAATTGAAACAATTTTTTGTTAGACTGCTCGCTAGATTTGATTCTCTAGTTAAGTCGGATTTAAATTTCTGAGAACTAACTGATCTTGAAAAATTAGTCAATCTGAAACAAGTCTAAAAATTCTTTTTTTGACCTTGAGATTTTGAAGAATTGGTCAATTTGAAGCAAGATGAAAAAAGACCTTTTTGACTTAAGGTGCTATGGAAGTTAACAGAAAATGACAAAACAGGAAGTGACAAAAAATTTTCCATTTTTTGAACAAAGGTAACAGAGTTCTGGTTTGACCTCCAGTCAATTCAACTAGTTCCAAATACCATTTATAGGTCCAGGATCACAATGTTCATGGTCAGAATGACCCTAAACATGATAAAATAACTTTTTCAAAACGGCCACCTTCAACCAAAAGTGTCAGTAGACAGTGTGCCATGCTTATAGTATTCACATACCAAATATGAACAAAATCGCTCCACTTCTTTTAAAGTTATAGTAAAATACGTTAAAATGGGGGCCATTTTGAGAAATGGCCGCCTTCTACCAAAGGTGTCATTACACGGTGTGCCATGCTTCACTAGGGCAGAGCATTTGTACTGAAAGGAGCGTTTTCAGTACAAATTTGTACTGAAAAATGTACTAGTTTTGTTTCAGTACAAATTTAAGTGTATTTTTGTACTGAAAAATGCACTGAATTTTTTTCAGTATATTTTTCAGTACAAAGAAAAATGTACTGAAATTTAAGTGCAAAAGTCAGTATAAAAATGTACTGAAAAATATACTGAAATTTAAGGATAATTTTAAGTATAAATATATGCAATGAGAAATATTTGTGCCCAATAATGGAAATAAGAGAAAACGTAAATGTAAGGCATACTTTATAAACTCTAAATCACTCAAAACACAAAAAGTTCTTAGAATGGTGAAAAAGTGCATGATTTCAAAAGGATTTTTGGCCGGGGGGGGGGGGGGGCTCGCTTGGACCCCTGAAACCCCCCCCCCAACAGGAATGCTATTACATTATGAAATTATTTTGGATGCTTCCTTTACAGCAGCCTTTAACCAAACTTAAAAGAGTCTCTCTGTAATCAGGTTTGTTTTGCCGTGTCAAAATATTTTGTTTTGTTAGTGGATTAATAAAGTTTCTTTAGACACATCCTTTAAAGCAGACTCTAATCAAACTGGAGAGGCTAGGTTAACTGTAATCAAGTGATTTCCTTTTCAGAAGTTAAGTTTATGGATTTATTAAAAACGGCCTAAATCACTCAAAAGGTTCTTAGAATGGTGAAAAAGTGTATGATTTTAAAAGATTTTTTTGGCCGGGGGGGGGGGGGGTTCGCTTGGACCCCTGAACCCCCCCCCCCCCCCAAGGAATGCTATTACATTATGAAATTATTTTGGATGCTTCCTTTACAGCAGACTTAAAACCAAACTTAAAAGAGTCTCTCTGTAATCAGGTTTGTTTTGCCTTGTCAAAATATTTTGTTTTGTTAATGGATTAATAAAGTTTCTTTAGACAAATCCTTTGAAGCAGACTCTAATCAAACTGGAGAGGCTAGGTTTACTGTAATCAAGTGTTTTCCTTTTAATAAGTTATGTTTTTGGATTAAATTATTTAAGACGCATCCTGTAATAATATCTGATTGCATTTTCTCCATCAATAAATTTCTTTTTAGCCCGATCAAACCTATCAAATATAATGCATATATAAGGGTTATGTACTGAGAGGTTTTGGATACCCATATTTCCTGAGGGATAAACCCTTTATTTAAAACTGATCGTACATAGCATGTGTATTCCATACCTTTTGAGGTTTCTAGATACATTCTACCTTATTAAGTTCTAAAATTCAAAAACATTAAAGGTACACATTTTCTCAGTCTTAAAAATAAGTTTTTCATGAGATTTTCACTCATATTGCTTGAGCAAATTAATAAATTGATATCAAAATTAAAATATATAACATGAACATAGAACCTCATTTGTTCGAGTATAGCAAAATCCATGGTTTAGATGTCAAAGTCAGGAAGATGTCGTAATTCAAAATCTAAGTATATTTTCAGTATAAATTTACACTTAAATATGCCCTTAAAGGGTTCCGATTAGCATCCCGTATAAAAACAATATGGCGGCTCCAGGCGAATCAACTGGATCAGTCCATTTTTAAGAAATAAGGGGAGTTCTGTAAAATCCAGTTTATTGAAATTGTCTTTGAGATAAAGTAATCCGTTTATAATGATTTTGAAAATGTTATCCAAAGAGTGATTGCGTTCAAAGAATACATTATACAACAGCCAATATAAATCCTTGTATTAGAAACCGTTTTGTCTTGCTTTGTTTCATTTGTAGGATATTTCATATGCCAAGCTGTGTGCTATTACGCTATGGGGAAATTTAGATGCCAATTTTTCCTTATTATACACAAATAGAAGATCCTGAAACTTCATCCATAAATGTGGAATTGATTTGTCAAAATAAAAATCACCCTTTTATAAATGTGTGACGATCTATAATGTACTTATGCTATATAACAGTTAGAGGTGTTGACACAACGATCTCGAACCTGTGAACCCTTGAGTATTATTCCGGGATCGGGCCTTTTATACTAAACGGTGAGCAACACCAGAAACGAGCGTTCGATTTGCTAAATGATATGCGTCACCCTTTAAATTTAAGTATATTTTTCAGTACATATTTGCACTTAAAATCACACTTAAATTTCAGTATATTTTTAAGTACATATTTGCACTTAAAATCACACTTAAAATTCAGTATATTTTTTAGTATAAATATATACTGAAAAATGTACTTAAAATTTCAGTACATTTTTCAGAACATATTTATACTGAAATTAGCACTGAAATTTTAAGTATATTTTTCAGTACATATTTATACTGAAAAATATACTTAAAAATTCAGTACATTTTTCAGTACATATTTGTACTGAAAACGCTCCTTTCAGTACAAATGCTCTGCCCTAGTGATAGTATTCACATACCAAAAATGAACGAAATCGCTCCACTACTTTTCAAGTTACCCTACTATCACACCAAACTAGTTCTCACTACGTTCTCGAAAACGGGCTTCAACTGTGTACAAACGGACTGGACCTACTAAGAACCGTTTGGGATCTATTTACAAACTTCATCGAACGTACTCGAACGGGTAGGTCCTCTGGAACTTAGACAATGCTCAAAATGTTCTCGTGGTCGTCACGTTCTACAATTAGAACGAGTGACAACGTACTAACGACGAGCTGGACGTACTACGAACGGAACCGTCGTACTTCAATCCTACCAGGGACGTTTTAACAACGAGTTGAACTGTCTGAGGACGTGTTGAGAACGAGGTAGAACTAATTGCAAACGGGTTTAAACTGATTAAGAACGTATTTAACACTGCTTATGAACGAGTTAGCAAAAATATAGCTATCACACCAAACAAGTTGCCACTGCGTTCTTCAAAACTGGTTTGAAACTGTGTGCGAACGGAATGAACGTAGCTGCAACTTTCTAAGGTCTATTTACGAACTTTATGAACGTTCTCAGACGGGAATGTGATTTTAGAATTTTGAATCGATTCAAAATTCGATGGCGACCATACCGTTCTGTAATCAGGTCATGTTGACCTTCTAGACTAAGAGAAGCGTTCTACGACGTTGCACACCGACGCGGTGCGACCTGAACGAACTGCGAACGAGATGGACGTATTGAAGACTGTTTAAGAACGAAGAAGCTAATTATTTCAGACATATTTCCCGACCACAGCCAGATTGAGCCCGTCTTACGACATTTTCGTAGGACTGGCAAGAACGGGTAAGAACTAGTTTGGTGTGATAGGGGGGTTACAGTAAAATACGTTAAAATGGCAGCCATTTTGAAAAATGCCCACCTTCTACCAAAGTGTCATTAGACAATGTGCCATGCTTATGGTATTTACATACCAAATATGAACAAAATCGCTCCACTACTTTCCGAGTTACAGCAAAAATCATAAAATAGAGAGTAAAGGCAGCCATTTTTCAAGATGGCTGCCATGTGCTTCTTTAATATCTACATTTCTAGCTTTATCAATGTCCTATATCATTTTCTACATTTAAAACATATTGCTATTACGGTTTTAAATATTGTACCTAAATTACTGTAAAATCGGCACTAAAATGGCCGCCATTTAAATGAGCGGCCATTTGAAAATCAATTTTGAGCAGAACTTCTACCCCCATAGGGTATATGTGTACAAAATATGAACAAAATCGGGCCAACGGTATTTGAGTTATTGCCCTGATGGACGGACGTACTGACGTACATGCGGACAGACAGACGGACGGACTGACGGAAGCGTTCCCTACATCATTAAATCTCATTGAAAGGGAATGCCTGCACATTCGACCTTTGGCCTATTGGGTGTCCAAAAAGAACAGTTAATGAGGAGCTATTTTTGCTGATCTCAAAGAGCACTCGGGCCCTTCTGTGCAAAGTTCCATTTTTTGGTTCGAAATTTGTGCATGCTCATGAATGGGGGTATTGCATTCCCATGATTCAAATTGCACTTCTGTGATAGGTTGAGCCCAATTGATATACATGTACTCTCTCATGACACTTCTGTTGGATACATACCTTTTGTTTTACACCAAACAAAAAATTCCATCAACACAAGATCATTATGGGGAGGGATTGGTGTGCTTATAAATGTAAATGATACCTATCTCAAATTATATGTTCTTATTTAAGTTATAGATGGCGCCTGCATTTGAGTAATTTAAACAAATCCCAATGGATGTAATGCTCATGTGCAGTAAAACCGGACAAAAAAACGGAATTTTTACGCATATTTCTCCCCATATTACCCTTGTGCATTTTTGTAATCCAATGGAGGAGGTAAGAAATGATCGATAGAAATTATTTGCTTTAATACAATAACTGTTTAACCTCTCCTGGGAATAAATAAGTAATTCCTTTTAGATAAAGTGGAAAACAATATTTCCCATGTTATTTTCCCTATGAGAAAACTCATGTGATCCATTACTTTCAGCTTAATTTTAATCACCCATTATGGATATCTTTAAACCCCCTTATTCCTTTAAAGGTGATTGATTGATGCAACAAAATTTGAAAAAGCAGGGGTAGAAGGGGTTGAAAATCAGGACAACATTTCAGAACATGTGGGTGGGTTGTTTGCATCTTCCCTGTCTTAAAGTTTAAATTATTTTATCATCTCTATGAGAACTTTTCCTGGAGGTAATGCATTGGTCTAACATATACACCTGTTTAAATCCTTATGGATAGGTACTTCCAATCTACATAAAATGAAATTTAATAAAATGATAAGATAATCCTCTTTTTAACCATATATCATATGTAATTTTTAATTTGATTTTAAAAATAATATTTCATAATAAAAACAACTAGAAAAATGTGCCGACAATATGATCATTAACTTTCCTGGTAAAATGAATAATTCCCCTGTACTGACTAAATCTGAGCCAAATAAAATCGAGATAATACAAAAGCAAACAAACATAGCGAAAGAGCGTAACTGAGGGGTTAGTACAAAACATGGCACGGTGCCATGGCATACTCTTCTATGGCACAGGCTATGGTACACTCATGCCTAAGCCTCTAGGAATCCAGTGGCGTAGGAACAATGTACGCCAGAACGCCAGTGCGTAGTGTTGAAAAGTGAGAATAAAAAAGGCTTATTAATTTTCTTTAGTTATATTTTCTCATGTGCATAAATTGTATCTCTAGCACACTAACCTAAACAAATGTTTTTATAATACCATATAATATGCTCGATTTTCAATAGTACTCTGTTTGTGCCTCTGTTATTTTCTAACCTTGGCTGCAGGTAAATGACACTTTTTGAAAAATTAAATGAAATATTGAATTAGTTTTAAAATATTGAAAGTTATGTACCTCAGTTTGTTTCTAATACTGTAGAAAATGCAAAGTAATCATTATTGCTCTTTTTGCGAAATAATCATTGAACAGATTTCATAAAAATCGAGCCACTATTGACTATCTTATACATTTTAAAAGTAAGCTACAATTTCACCAAATATTCGAGAATCGCGTTCTCTTTACGAATTTGAGATAAAAACAGTTTATTTCTACTACTCGATGAATACCTTTGCAGTGTTTCAGCATGTTTCGTAATGCTTATGCAGGATTTATCTATTTTCTTACTAAATCACTAATTTGTTTTTGGTAGTACTTCTTGAAATATGAATGTCAAGGACAAAAACAACTTGAAATTGTTGATTATTCAATTACGCGTTCAATTGATTTCAATGAGTTTTGGCGATACATGCTATCTTTGAAAGTACATAAAGTACAACTCCAGTTCTGGAAAAGCTATTATCTGCATTTTTGGCATCCCCTAAGTCATGTTGACCTCGATTTGACCTTCGTAGAGGGGGGGGGGGGGGTTATTTGGTCTTGTGAATTAGTGTTATAAAAAATTTGCAGACATTAGGGTTAATTGTATCATTGATCACGAATATGTTTCTTTAAATCGATTGATCATACTAGTTTCTTTAATCTGTATTATCGTATTGCACGATACACAATGGAATGAGACAATAATACAGTATGTATCTAAATTCAATTATTCAGAAGTAGTTAGAAATCTCTCATTGTTATCTGGAAAGTCGTCTTTATCATTTGAGTAAAATAACATTAACATGAGAAAAGTGAGAATGAGTTGTGTCGAGATTTAAAAGAGCGGCTTTCCATGGTGATTTTATATGCATTCGAACTGCATTCGAACATTTTAAGTACATTAGAAAGGTATTGCCATAAATGACATTTTACAAGCATAAAATAGGTGTTTTGATATACAGGGCGTCAAATAAGTCTGTTCTCCCCCCTTAACTTTTTTAATTCAGAAATAACATAGGGTTGGTATATACCATCTTAAAGGGAATTTAATTTGCTGATCACACACCAAATTTCAAAGTGATTGGTTAAATTCCAATTTTTTAAGAATATTTTTAGTGATGTCCATATTTCACTTTTTGTGTGTCTCCCCCTGCAGCCCAGGTGGCCTCAATTCTACGAGGATATGATCCCGTATAAATAATTCAGAACGTTTAATTTTGGTTGTTATCAATTATTTTGTGATGAAAGATGCCCCTGCTTCAAAAGCCCCCCTGAATGTAACACATTTTACTCTGTAACGATATTGAGAAACATCGAAATCACCCAATGTTGGCATTGTCACTGCAGTATCATTTTCACTTTTCAATCACTATACCTGGTAATTTTACTTGTTTTGACGTAATCAAAGGTCAACTACAACCTTACAAGAAACATTGTAGCAATTTTATTAGGAGGAGTTTATGATTGATTTTTTGAGGGTGATCAGCATTTTCCATAAGCTTCAAAATGATATATGGGAAAGTATGATAAATTTTAAGATAAAAAAGTTAAGGGGGGAGAAAAGACTTATTTGACACCCTGAAGATTTGAAATGTTTCATTTTTTGGCGTAGTGTTGAATTTACACCTTCCTACGCCCCTGGAATCTATTTTGAATTAAATTCTTGCAGATTTATTGCCTCATACCAATTTTCAAATATGGAAGCTGGTTTTAATTGTAATGCATTTTAAGCGTGTTATGGCATAGGCACATATATGGCACCCCCTGTCCCATAGGCTCTAGGACACAATTTTGAGTCAAATTCTTGCTGATTTATATGCCTCATGTTGATGGAGGTTCTGCTGATATGCGACAAATATAAATTACAAGTCATTGGTCAATATATTCTTTCTGACCAGTGAACATCAATGGGCTCGGGATCGATCATTCTTATGGTGGTCTAAAGTGCTGCTTATTTTTTCGTGAAGCCACTCAGTAAAATTAAGATAAGGCAATGTATCTTCAAATAAAACCTTAGCCAAGTAGATTAGAGTCTCTGGAACACTTTTATAAATGGTTTTCACAAGCAATTTTGATTGTGAATCTCAAATTTTGTCTTCCCGATTTCAGTCATGAATTTCGCGTGCAAACTTTGGGTAGACGTTGTTATTCCCGGATGCCCAAACGTGACAGGAACACATAAAAAAAAAGATCTTGATTGGACATCAGGTTGCAGAGTAATCGTAATTTTACTGAGTGGCTTCACGAAAAAATAAAACGGCTATACGCTGCGTTAACAGCGTGCTAGTGCATAGAGTAATGTATCTTACCAATGGCTCACAGTTGTATTTACATTTGTCTGTAGCACACTCTTCATTGTAAACCTGTAAGTCCATGTCTGCCATATGCATGTCTTGGCCAATCTCCCCAGATTGACTGGAATACAATACATCATTGCATCAACTAAAAAACGGCAACTCCACGGAGTAGCAAATCCCAACGAACACTATAACATATATGAATCTGTATTAGCCACAAAAAATATAAACATTGGAAACATTAGAGATATATCAGAATTTCTACCAATTTGAAAAGCATTTGGGTGACCATTTAAAGGCACAAATAATATACAAAACAGATACAATATTTGCAATCTTCTCTAAATTGACTTTCATTTGAGTATAATAAAGCAATACTTCAGGAAGATCTCAAAATTAACGCAAATTCCTGTTGGCAGCCATTTTGAATTTTCCTAGGCACAAATCGAAAAGACAATACCAAAGTAATGATCTAACCTAAACTTCCTTCAATTTGAGCATAATATAGCCATAGGGATCAGAAAATTATTGCGAAATCTAACATAAGGCAGCCATTTTTAAAATTACAAAACCAATATAATATTTGCAATCTACTCTAAATTGGCTTTCATTTGAGTATAATTAAGCTATACTTTAGAAAGATCTCAAAATTAACACATATTCCCATTTTCCCGACCCTCCATACATGGCCCCTGGGGGTCATGGTGAAAAACTTGGAATATATATGAAATAGATAGATGATGTGAATATACTAGCTAAATTTCAAAAAATAATATTTATTTCTTTGGCTTAACATGAAAAACTTAAGATTTTCACAAAAAATTCCCGCCATTTTTAAAGCGGCGGCCACCTTGAAATTTTTTTTTGATGCATACAACTATTCACCAATATACATCTTTCCATCAAATATGAAGAAAATCTGTCAACTAGTATTCAAGTTACCTTGCAGACGGATGGATGGACGGACAGACGAACGGACGGACTGGGGGCTTCACTATATCCCTACCAAACTTCGTTCATTGGGATAATTATTCAATAAGATGATAAATTGAGAATGCAGAGCTATGCAGGTTTATGTCTCCTGACAAATGCATATTCAGGGATTAAATACTATGTAAACCTATATTCATTGCATGTACAAAGGACAAGTCTTGGTTTGGAGAACAGTCTCCTAGGCTAATGATTTTTTATGAAAAATATTGAAATATCACCCAAATTAAACCAGAACACCCATGGATGGCATTTTTACAAACAAAGTATATAGCAAAAATGGCAGCCATTTTCAAAATGGCCACCTTCTACCAAAAGTGTCATTAGACAGTGTGCAATGCTTATAGTATTCACATACCAAATATGAACAAAATCGCTCTCCTACTTTTTGAGTTATAGTAAAATACGTTAAAATGGCGGCCATTTTCAAAATTGCCACCTTCTACCAAAAGTGTCATTAGACAGTGCCATACTTATAGTATTCACATATCAAATATGAACAAAATCGCTCCACTAATTTTCGAGTTATAGTAAAATAAGTTAAAATGGCCACCATTTTTCAAAATGTCTGCCATTTTTCAAAATGGCCGCCTTCTAACAAAAGTGTCACTAGACAGTGTGCCATGCTTAAAGTATTCATATACCAAATATGAACAAAATCACTCCATTACTTTTCGAGTTATAGTAAAATAAGTTAAAATGGCCACCATTTTTCAAAATGTCCGCCATTTTTCAAAATGGCCACCTTCTAACGTACAAAAGTGTCATTAGACAGTGTGCCATGCTTAAAGTATTCACGTACTTTTCGAGTTACAGCAAAAATCGTAAAATAACGAGTAAAGGCCGCCATTTTTCAAGATGGCTGCCATGTGCTTCTTTAATATCTACATTTCTAGCTTTATTAATGTCCTACATAATTTTTTTTATATTTAAAACATATTGCTATTACAGTTTTACTTATTGCACCTAAATTACTGTAAAATCAGCACTAAAATGGCCACCATTTTTAAATGAGTGGCCATTTTGAAAATCGGCTAACGAGCAGAACTTCTACCCCCATAAGGTATATGTGTACAAAATATGAACAAAATCGGGCCAAAGGAATTTGAGTTATTGCCCGGACGGACGTACGTTCCTGTCATGGAAGGTTACACATTCCAACATGTTTCAAACAATCTTTATGATTATGCTGGCCACTTTCTGGGTAGTTGAACTTCATGTAGGGGTGGCAGACGGCCCTCAGGCCAATTTATACCCCTACCCCTAGAAAAACTTGGGAGTACTTTAATATCACCTAATAAAAATAATACTAATGTATATCATAAATTCATAGTTTTATTGCAGGTAGGGCATGCCATGGTTAGTCAGTGCCAGAAATTTCCAATCTCTGATTGACCCCCTTCCAAATATGTCCCTTAGTTCTCAAAGTGAAATATTTGCAAATCTGAATTTTGTGGCTACTTCTTTGTCAAAAATTGTATTAATATGTATATATTCACACAGAAGCACTAAAAAGTTGATATAATGCTCCCATAAATCAATAATATTTATCAAATATAGTCACACACAACTACTTTTAGGGAAAAGTGGGAGTGGCACATTTTAGTACTTGTGTAATTGTTGCAGCATTAAATGAAAAATACATATTACACTAACAACAATTGACATTTAATTATCATCTACTAACACTGTGTGACATTGTAATATGTTCATTGTCATTATTAGATACTTAAGATATTTTATGTAAGTGTTATCATGACCTTTCCTTTTATCCCCATACCCTACAAGATGGGCATCACCAATGGTGTCAAAAATAACTTTTCTGTTTTGTTTATTTTTACCAGACAGGAGGCAAAAGCTTTTATTAAAATCGAGGTAATTACCCAAGAGTGTTATCAACCAATCAGAGAACAGTTTCTGTTTTCAGCAGACTGAAAAATGATGATATACGTAAACATCCTCCCATGCAGCCAATTTAACAAAAATGATTTTCAGAATCACAAGGTTTTACTGTCGATATACTAAGATTTCAGACAGCGATCAGACCAAACTTGGAGTTCAGAAATGTTTACTAGATGAGCAACCGGACATAGGTGGAATTGTGGACTGGTTACTTGATAAAACTCATCAGTCCGAACCCTACATCACCGGGTTTGACGCAGAAAAACACTGAATTTATACCATTTGTGGGATGGATAAAGTTATATCGCCATATCAATAAATCAATTTTTGATGTTGATGAGGTTCTATGATGTAATAAGTAGATTTACCTGAATGTATTTCAATGGTTTCATTAAAAAATATTTAGTGATCATGCATTTCAGAGGTTTAAAAATAAAAATACATTCCATGATAATGAAGACTAATAAACGGAATAACAACCAGAACAGCGGCAACGCCAAAGCGTAGCGAATCCCATCGAACAGAAATGGCTGGCATTTTTACAAACGAAATATATAGCAAATATCATAAAATAACACACATAAGAAAGGCCACCATTTTCAAAATGGTTGCTCACTAGCCAAGTTGTCATCAGAAGAAGTAATATGCTTTTTCTTTATAGTATTAACATACCAAATATGAACAAAATCGCTCCACTACTTTTCGAGTTATAGTAAAATACTTTACAATGGTGGAAATTTTTCAAAATGGCCGCCTTCTACCAAAAGTGTAATTAGACAGTGTGCCATGCTTATAGTATTCACATACCAAATATGAACAAAATCGCTCCACTACTTTTCGAGTTACAGCAAAAATCGTAAAATAACGAGTAAAGGCCTAGTAAAATACAATTAAACGGCGACCATTTTTCAAAATGGCCACCTTCTACCAAAAGTGTCATTAGACAGTGTACCGTGCTTAAAGTATGCACATACCAAATATGAACAAAATCGCTCCACCACTTTTCGAGTTATAGTAAAATACTTTAAAATGGTGGAAATTTTTCAAAATGGCCACCTTCTACCAAAAGTGTCATTAGACAGTGTGCCATGCTTATGTCACTCACATACCAAATATGAACAAAATCGCTCCACCACTTTTCGAGTTATAGTAAAATACTTTAAAATGGTGGAAATTTTTCAAAATGGCCACCTTCTACCAAAAGTGTCATCAGACAGTGATCCATGCTTATAGTATTCACATACCAAATATGAACAAAATCGCTCCACTACTTCTTGACTTACAGCAAAAATCGTAAAATAATGAGTAAAGGCCGCCATTTTTCAAGATGGCTGCCATGTGCTTCTTTAATATCTATATTTCTAGCTTTATCAATGTCCTATATAATTTTTTTACATTTAAAACATGTTGCTATTACAGTTTTACATATTGCACCTAAATTACTGTAAAATCGGCACTAAAATGGCCACCATTTTTAAATGAGTGGCCATTTTAAAAATCGGCTTGTGAGCAGAACTTCTACTCCCATAGGGTATATGTGTACAAAATATGAACAAAATCGGGCCAACGGTATTTGAGTTATTGCCCGGACGGACGGACAGACGAACGGACGGACGTATGGGATAATTACCCATCCTCCAAACATAGGGTACCAGGCATCATCCACTAAGTTCCTTCCTTCTTCTTGGAAGAAGGAGGTACTGTATGAGTTTTGGAGGTCTGTGTTCAGAGGATGAAATTACCAGACTATGAACTTATTTAATGTAATCATTTTTATTTATTAGTCTCAAACACTATACAGACAGCATGATCAAACACATACCTGAAACTAATAGTTGTTGATCTCGCCACTCCCACTAGGCTAAGCATGCTGTACATGACTTGTTCATACATGAGCCTGTTCTGTTTGAAGTGTCCCGATGAGAGATTGGGTGACATGTTTACTTCCATTAAATAAACATTTAGTTCATCATCCAACACATAGTCAAACCTTACCATCTCAAAGAAATTCCTGGAATAGAATATACAGTGCGTATAAAAAAAAACGCAACAGATTGTTTTCTCAGAAAAGCACAGAACCAGTGTTAACAGCATTGATTTCATTCAATGCTCCATAAAGCCATGTGCCTCTTTACAATGATATATCATTCATTGATATTTGGTCATGGTTGGGCGAGTAATCATTCCATTTGCAAAGTGGGCCAAAATTAGCTTCGGGCCAAGTTATAAACATCGCAAAAGTCAGTGTACAGAGCCTGATGAAATATTGAAAAAAAACATAAAACCAATGCTGACTGCATCATTTTCATTCAATGTACCAAAAACCCAAATAACTCCTCTTTGCAATGGAATATCATTCATTCACAGGGAATCTCTGGCCAAATAATCATTAATTTTGCAAAGTGGGGCAAAATTCAGCTCGGACCCAAGTTTTAAACATTGCAAAAGTCAGTACAAGGGGCATAGGGGCTATTGGAAAAAGGTGTGACAGGTGTGGCATAGACAGTAAAGTGTTCATACTCATACTCTTGAAAAAATACATCCTATACCCCTCCAAATTACCACCACTTCCTTGCACATAAAGATACGCTCATCTGTCCATGTCATGCATGGTTCAGCCCTGAGTCCTCTGTGGGTTAAAGCAGAGAAAAGCAGCCCATGGGCAATTCTTTCTCGAGGTTTTGCAATATCTGGTGGAGGAATTGTGAGCACAGATGCTCCTGAGATAGCTCCAAAAGAAAAAGGCACAACAATTCAAGTCAGGGGAACTTCCATTGGCACTTCGCCCTTGCACTGATTTTTTCTATTTAAAGGGCATATTTAAAGCATATCGTTTAGCAAATCGAACGCTCGTTTCTGGTGTTGCTCACTGTTTAGTATAAAAGGCCCGATCCCGGAATAATACTCAAGGGTTCACAGGCTCGAGGTCGTTGTGTCAACACCTCTAACTGTTATATAGCATAAGTATATTATAGATCGTCACATATTTATAAAACGGTGATTTTTATTTTGACAAATCAATTTCAGGATCTTCTATTTGTGTATAATTAGGAAAAATTGACATCTAAATTTCCCCATAACGTAATAGCACACAACTTGGTATATGAAATATCCTACAAATGAAACAAAGCAGTTCTAATACAAGGATTTAAATTGGCTGTTGTACATATTCTTTGAACGCAATCACTCTATGGATAATGTTTTCAAAATCATTATAAACGGATTACTTTATCTCAAAGACAATTTCAATAAACTGGATTTTACAGAACTCCCCTTATTTCTTAAAAATGGACTGATCCAGTCGATTCGCCTGGAGCCGCCATATTGTTTTTATACGGGATGCTAATCGGAACCCTTTAAAACTTGGTCCAGAGCCGATTTTGACCCACTGAGCAAATGGAAGGATTTCTCACCCAACCATTACCACATGTGAATGAATGACATATCATTGCAAAGAGGAGAGACGTGGCTTTAAGGTACATTGAATGAAATTGATGTAGTCATCACTAGTTTTGTGATGTTACGAGATCACTACTTGTTGCGTTTTTTTTTATATGCCTTGTAGATGTATAAATTACATATTCTTGAACTTCGTTTGGTGGGATAATGAAGCCAGTTTAACCCTCTGAGCAATCAAAAAAGGGGATCTAATTTTACCAAATATGCAACCTTTTGTAATAGTGTTTAATGCAAAATTAATGAAGCCAGTTTAACAATCTGAGCAATGGATTATTTTATACAATGTCCATGTATTTCATTTACAAAAACCATGTTTTTGGATTCAGCATAAAAAGTTACAAAGGAAAGACTTGTCAGAATACTTTTAATACAAAATACCTACCACACTTTATAGTACAGAGAGATCTTTTGAAGAAATAAATAGTACCATGGGTACTGGGCTCACATAGTGTTGCTCAAAAGTAAAAAATAATGGCTAAAATGGCAGAAAATAAAGAAAAATGGATGTAATGTTTGCCGATTTTTTGTAACAAAATTGTTTCATACAATTGCTCTTTACAGTGACATGACTTTTTAGAATGCGGGACACCTAAAGTTATTTGTAAAGCTAGGAAATGGGCCACAAGTGAATTTCGCAAGACAAAAATGGCAACCACTTTGACAATAGGCAAGTTTTTGAACCAAGAAGTCAAAGGGGAGTTTTCTGTATTGATGTTGAACAAAAATAACTTAAAACAGGAATCCTATCGACAGAAGTTTTAAGACAAATGGTCCAAAGGTGGATTTCTCAAAATATATGGACAAATCAATGTTAACTAAAATGGCTGAAAATAAAAAAATGGATATAACTATTTGCCGAAAAATGTTTTTATTTCATACAACTACTCTTTACAGTGACATGGATTTTTCAATGCAGGACACCTGAAATTATTTGTGAAGCTAGAAAATGGGCCAAAAGTGAATTCTGCGAGACAAAAATGGCGACCATTTTGAAAATAGGCGAGCTTTTAAACCAGGAGTCAGAAGGGAGTTTTCTGTATTGATGTTGAACAAATATAACTTAAAACGGGAATCCTTTTGACAGAAGTTTTAAGGCAAATGGTCCAAAAATGGATTTCGCAAGATAGATGGACAAATCAGTGTTAACTAAAATGGCTGAAAATAAGAAAAACGGATAAAATTCTTTGCCGATTTTTTGTAACAAAATTATTTCATACAACTACCGTACTCTTCACAGTGACATGGCTTTTTACAATGCAGGACACCTGAAATTATTTGTAAAGCTAGGAAATGGGCCAAAAGTGAATTTCGCGAGACAAAAATGGCGACCATTTTGAAAATAGGTGAGTTTTTGAACCAGGAGCCATAATGGAGTTTAGATGTTGAACAAATATAATTTAAAACGGGAATCCTATTGACACAGATTTAAAGCAAATGGTACAAAAGTGAATTTCGGGAGACAAAAATGGTGGCCATTTTGAAAATAGGCGAGCTTTTGAACCAGGAGTCATGGAGGTGGGAGGTTTTCTATATTGATGTTGAACAAAAATAACTTAAAACAGGAATCCTGTTGACAAGGGTTGTAAAACTGGCCAATTGTTGACAGACGGACAAGTGAGTGATTGCAATAGCTCACCAATGTGAGCTAAAAACCTTGTCTAACACTGCAAATTAAAGATTTATTTCATTTTGGTGCATGGGACTCTTTCCCTCCTACTGAACTATGCAGATCATAGAGTTCTATTCACTCAGAGTTAGATTTGCTATAATCCATACATAGTACATGGGTGGCAGTACATCTACTAAAATGTTAGTGTTGAACAAAAATAATTTAAACAAAACATTTTAATCATATTAAGATCTAATATATAGACCAAACATTTTTAGGAATAAAGTCACAATATTATGAAGACTTACTATATTCACACGATAATTGATTGATTCTGTTAGCATCTTTGTCAAAGAAAATGATTAAAAGGGAATGATGTGCAACTTGAATGCAGGATAAAGAGATTACATTTAACTCACAGTGAGGACTTGTAGTTGTTGGTGGATTCTACCAATTTCTCCTCTTTGTTGAGTAGTACCTCTAATACCCCTTCATACATCATACGTTGTAGCTTAGCACCATCTCGACCTGATAATCAAGAACTTTCATAAAGCATATGTTGTAGATGCATCCTAGTCAACTGGTACCGAAGACAACTCTGAGTTATTTCCAGTATTATGGGTGCATATTAGGAAAACAAATTGAGTTTGTATAATACAGGGTGTTTGGAAAGTAAAGATACAAATGCTCTAATTTCAATAGATTAACCTGTTGTGATATGAAATTGCTACAGATGACATTATAATAATTTATCCTGCAACTGTCATGACAAATTGTTTCAAAATAAAAAAGTTATGGTTGTTATGGTAACAGGAGTCACAGGCATGTGGAGCAGCGTCACAATTATGTTTTATAATTCTTTTCACCTGTTCATATCATCTTGACACTCCATCGTCTGTTGCTATTATACATCAGATTATGTACCACAGACAGCAAAGGATTAGTACTGTAACATTATTTATTCATTTGACACTACTTTATCCAGTATTATGTATTTCCCACCATTATTTAAATATTATTTGTGCATTTTGACCAGAGATTCAAAGACTTGACAAATCCACTGCTTTCAATCTCTAAGATTGTTGATAACATTGGCTTTCAGCCCAGTCTCATTTTTATGTTGAGCTTCTAACAAATATTGCTTTAATATATTAAATATATTTTTATATATAATATATATATATAATATATATTTAATATATATTAAATATTCATTAATGTAGAAGTCCAACGGGCCATTATCAGGGAAAATATATGGGCCATTGTGCAAAACTGGTTTAATGTCAAGGCATCCAATTGTGAGATTGTTTTCTTTTCCTTTGTGAATTGGTGCATTGACTGAAGAGGTGGACTGTTGATTTTCCTATTAATCTAGGGACCCCTTTTCTAAGCACTCATATACTTTTTCTATGATTATACTGGTGACATTACATAGTTATGATATGTATCAATGATATCATTATACTAAAGAGAATACTATGGCAGCAAGAATACAATATCAAACAAAACATTGATAAAAATATAATAATAAACACTGTTTCAAATGGTTATATTTTTGCAATTCATCACAATTTAGCAATATCCTGGAACTGCTCCGCATACCCCTCACCACCGTAACTATGACAACCATAACTTTAACGCGTTTAGACTATATGTTATAAAAGTTGGTAGATGTATTGTAATATAGTTCCTCTACAATCTGTAGCAATGTCATTACAAAAACCAAAATCTATTAAAATTAGAGTATTTGTATCTTTACTTTCCAGACACCCTGTAATGTTTTCATGTTATAATGTGACTCAAATAAGCCTCAATATTTTTTATGAATTTAGAAGACATTTTTTCTCAATGGATTAAGTAAAGCATTTTGATTTAACTTGAATCACTGTTTTATTAATAAAAGAAGTGCTTGAAGTGCTTGTTCTCAACATTTTTTGTCAAAGTAAATAAATACAATTACAACAGTGACTTTTCTACAAATGATTCAAACAATTAATTTAGTGCATTTTGACAACGTTTAAAGGAAGTTTAATCTGTTAATTTTTTTCCAATTGGAACTAAATTGGATTATATTTGAGCACATGCATACTAAGTGTAATAATAATATAGTAGCCTGGCCAGAACAAGTCATGCCTCTCTATTTTCTCAATAACTTTCTCATTTTTGAATATTTTTTCATGAAATTTTCACAGAATAAACTTTAAAGAATTCCTAACATACAAATTTTTTTAAATGGTAAATGCCTCATTAATTTCATTGTAACAACCTTTTAAAAAATAATGTCATATTTTGTTGATGGGGCATTTTTGTCGCCATTTGAAAGCATCTTTTATCTCCATCAAGTATGACAATAGGCGAGTAGTAATGCCTTTTATGGGACGAGCAGTATAGAGGCTTGAGATCATGAGGTCTTGAAATAGTATGGTGGATTTAGAACACTAAAAAAGATAAATGATCCCCTATCAAAGACTTCAATCAAATATGTAGACCATATTAGGACAAAACGTAATTTAGATTTTTCGTATCTTTTTAGAAAAAAATGGCGACAAAAATGATTATGCGCAATGACTTATACATGATTTCTGTCGCAGTGTTGCGACAGCCAATCAGATTGCGAGTTCTTAATCGGGGAAATGCTAACTGCTTATTGCAGGGGGTAAAAAGAAAGAATATATTCTGGATTTTGAAGCCCTGTGATCGGAGGATGCAATTACGATACAAAACATGTTTTGATAAATAGCAGCCATCTTGAACAGCTATTGAAAATTCTTTCATGAACAGAGGTCCTACTCCCATAAGGCATAAGCTTATAAAATTGAATCAAATCTGTTTGCCAGTATTTGAGTTATCGCCCAGACACATGAATGGACGAATGAAAGGACAGTTGGATGGACAGCTTCTCTATATCTCTGATGAACTTCCTTTGATTATATAGAAACAACATTTAAAGAAGGTTTAAAGAAATTGCTATATCTTTTATTTTCACTTCCAGATTGATAAATATAGCAAAGAATAAAATACACGGAAGAATTAATCTTTTTGACAAATGACACAGATAATAGTGGTAATAAAGTATAAAACACATCTACTTTACTAAAGTAAATTTCATGTGATAAGCTTAGTAAAGGTTCCTACCATTCATTTTCAAGTAGTTCATCAATGTGTCTTTATGGGAGTAGCTTAGTTCTGTATGCATTTGCTTCAGTGACTGCATCTATAAATATATATTTCAGACTTTATTTTAACATGTACTACTGTATGTATAGGTAGTAAGCTAGCAGCCAAAAATGTTGCACTTTGTGAACAAAATGAAATTACATTTTTCTTATGTAGTTTTACGTGATTCTTTAGAAAATTTTTGTCTGACGTGCAGTATTCTGGGTGTAAATGGTCAAAATGTAGTTTCTGACCCGTGGAAACCATGATCTTAGATTCCTTTAATTAGTGTTCATTGTCACAGACTGTATTTTATTTTTATTTTAAACGTTTCAAATGCATACTGCATCCATGATCACTTAAATTTAAAGTGAAAACAGATAAAATACATCCAGGTATTCTACTTATTACTTCATTGAACTTAACAACGTTAACAAGGCGTACAGACTTTTTATTTTTTCGTGAAGCCACTCAGTAAAATTACGATTTCTCTGCAACCTGATGTCCAATAAAGATCATTCAAGTATCTATGTGTTCCTGACACGTTTGGCCGTCCGTGAATAACAATGTCTACCAAAAGTTTGCAGGGGAAATTGACGTAATTCATGACTGAAATCGGGAAGACAAAATTTGAGATTCACAAACAAAATTGCTTGTAAAAGCTATTTACAAAAGTGTTCGAGAGACTCTAATCTACTTGGCTAAGGTTTTATTTGAAGATACATTGCCTTATTAAGCAGGAATACAGAGGGGCATACAGAACACAGAAGCAAATGCTATGTTGAAAATATTCTATATTTCAGTTTGAACATGTTATTACATGTCACGTAGGCCAGTGTTTCATATGGGGATTATATGTACTTTACTTGTTTACATGAATGTAAATCATTACATGAAATCTGCAGTCTTCCGGGTTTTTTCTGGTTTTTTTTTGAAGTTTACAACGGATTATCTACTTATGAATCAGTTTTTGGGAAGGATGACATATTGGTTTTATCTGTTTAATTGAAAATAAGATCGCCTGTCTGACTATACAGTAGAACCTGCTAAGTGAAACACCTCTTTAAGTGGAACACTTTTTCAAAGTCACGTTTTAGAAACCCATTGACTTAATGTTAATTGAACCTCTGTAAGTGGAACACCTCTAAACTTGAACAGTGAACACCCCATATTGAAAATTTAACAGTGGAACAGTTAATTTTCCATAAATTTCAATATTGATATGTGGCGAAGTTGAGTCTCTCTATCTTTTACAAAACATGAAAACAAATATAGTTTAAAATATAAATTTATTAAAGAAAAGTTAAAGTCCAAAAATATCATTTCAATCAGTTACTTACAGTTTTTGGTTAGTCCCGAGTTCACGCAACGAGGTTCTGAGGTTTCAATGCCAAAAATGCCTCTTTTGTATTGTATTTTGTTTACCACCAATGAAGGTGAGCAATACCTCTTGGGTATGTCCCATATATATACGGTCGTAATTTACGTAATTAACATGGAAGATAGACCCAGAAACCCCTCCTTGAAGGAGCCCTGTGTTCTTTTATGTGCACTTATACATAGACATATAAGTACACACCACAGCCTTTTTGTACGAGATGCGGACCACTCAGTCAAACACCCTGAAGTACTTCACGCAAACAAGCAAATTTAGTCTTGCCTGAACCAGGGATCGAATCCGGGACCTATTGCGTAAGAGGTACCTGCGCTACCGCTGAGCTACACGGGTATCTTAATTTTGAGGTGGGCAGAGCCGAAATAAGAGGTCTTAACCAATAAAATATTAGGAAATCCCATTAACTAAAATTGGCCTAAAAATAAATGTTTAATTTTATAGAAAGTCAATAAGGAATAGTGATGATTTTCTGCCCACGAATCTTGAATGTTTACCGAAAGTTTGAGAATTTGGCAGAATTTGGTGGGAAAGGAATGTCTAGACAAAACCTCTGAGCCTCGTCTCATGAACTCTGGATGCTTAATCTAATTATCTAATTTAACTCATTATCTAATTTATGTTCGATACACATATTTATAAGTCAATTTTCACCCTAAAAAGTATACAATTATTCGTAAAATGTGATGTAGATAATAAAGGTATAAACATTTGCAAAGTATATACAGCAGTATTGATGTTTTGGTCAGTTGTACTCCAGGTCGTTAGGTTTAATCGCTTTCTACTTTGTTTATCAGAAATTTGCAGTCTTCAAGATGATGCCAAAAACTATCGAAACTTATAAACATCTTAACTAAACATTGCAAAATTTCCCATCAGTTGACTTCATGTATCATTTCTGTCACTCATATCTCAAGAATAATCCGTTCGTTTGATTGGCTCTAGATATAGTTCATGCCTAAAAACTGCTCTAATATGATGATAAAACATAGGAAATTAAACTGTTGATATTGTGAAATATCACACTGGGTTCAAAGATCACTAAAACAATAGTTATAATACAAATATAAACTAATCAAAATAACGCAATAATTATAAATATGAGTAACAGAATAAGATCATTGTGACATCAACTGATGTGAAGTGAAACAAGTAGACTGACCAACGAGGTCAGCTATGACTTCGTCACAGATACTTATGTTAACACTATTAAACTCCTACAGTGATATCTGGGTATGAAAACAGGTAATAACGTGATAATTGGCAAATTAGAATTTTAACAGATTACCATATAGCAAATTGGATTAACCTCCTGTAGAGATCAACATGTGATGTTACCACTAATTAATTTGATAATCAGTAAATTAGGATTTCATAAGATTATCATTCATCAAATTGGATTAACCTCCTGTAGAGATTGACATAAAAACAAATGAATCATAAGCAGTAGGCACTAGTCTTCAAAACTTAATTGCCAACTTTTTGTACCTGAGACTGGCAGAATGAGGAGGATTTAGAATGTCAGAAAACATTTTTGGCAGAATGAGGAGGATTAAGAATGTCAGATACCTTTTTGAGTAAAACTAATGGATAATTAATGGTATATAGCTGCCCTGCAATGAACGGAGAATCATATTTTCAGTGATACATATAAACCCTATATTTTATCTTGTATGTTCTTTAAATGATTTGATGTGGGGTGAAAGGATATATGATTTTTGTGATACGGGCTATCTCTGCAAGCACATAACTTTAGTAATAGAAAAGCTTTTACCCTGATTATTTTATTAAGTAGAAAATAAACTATCCCATAAGCAATGCTACAACTTTCTATTGAAATTAATTAATACCAACTCGCCCAATATTGTTTTCTCGAACAGGTATTCTGCCATATCCAGCTCCTGATCTTCCAGTATTTGTTTAATATTGCCCGCAGAAATGATTTTATTAGTATTATTACCACCATTAATGCCCGGGGCTGAAATAGCAAAAGTCATATGCATTGAACGATATCTCATTTCCCGGGGAAAATTGCTGGGTGTTAATGCATTATTGGCCCGCCACTATGATGTCACATATTGCTCAGATCGATATAGTAATATAAATGCCTTCTAAACTAGCATAAATACCCCTACAACATGCCAGGAAAGGTGGTAATAATAGTAATTGATCTGAGAACTATCCACAAAAATATTCATCTTTTTGAATTACACTTGAATTAAATCTTCAATTAATGAAAATCTGAACCATTATAAGATATTCGAAAAATTCAGAAACTGCAAATGATTCAATTATAACAATTTAAACCAATTTAAATTGTTAGGATATGATACTAAGCTTAAGAAGTTAACATTTGATTAGTTATACCAATCATTGTGATTTGCCCATTGTTATCTCATTTTGCAGTATAAATTGTATAAATCTTCTTGCTGTCAAAGTATTTAGTGTAAAGGCCCGGTCACACCGCCCGGACGTTGCTGGAGCATTCCTTGAACGTTGAAAAAATTCATCAACGCTCGTCAACGCGCACAAAATGGGGAAAAAAACAAAAACAAGGGTGTTGGCTTAGCGGTGCACCGCTGAAGTCGGCGTTGCTTTAGCGTTGGTTAAGCAGTTGCGAGCGGTAGCTAGCGTTTGTTTAGCGGTAATGCGAGCGTTGGTATAGCGGCGTTCTGCGCATGAGAGCGTTGCTTCGGCGGGGGTATAAATAGCAGCAGCGTTGGTTTAGCAGCATATCGCGTTTGACTACTGAGCTGAACGGATCTATTCAGTGGTGCATTTCTCCACGTATTTATAGCCACTCGAGAAACATCCGTGTTGGCCGAGCGTTTACAGCGTTGCGTTAACGGATGCCAACTTTTGTTAAACGGTTGTGAACGTTTACGAGCGTTGATAATTTTTTTCAACATTCAAGGAACGCTCCAGCAACGTTTAGGCGGTGTGACCGGGCCTTAAGTGCCTGTTTATAATGATACCGACATTATTGTAATATTGAAATCATATAAGTAATAAAGATCCCCAAGTGGAGGTCAATGCCCCCCCCATTTGTTTGTGCTCAAAAATTCATAAATGGTCAATGATATATAATCTTAACTAACAGAAGCAAATTAAAAACATTAAGCTGTAACAATAAGCTTTTAAAAAATTATACAGTGTTTGATGAGTTATATTCCCCACTGTGAACTTGGATTCCATTTTGATCTAATTTTTCAGTTGAAATTATATACGAGTATTATGCTTTTTGTACTTATCTATTCACAAGAAATCTTTTAAAATGATTATGATATATTAAAAAAAGGACCCCTGCTTAAATCTCAAAATAAATGATAAACATTAACATCTTGTGTTCAAGGATGAACAAACAAGCAAAAACATATTTAGTGATATTAAATCTATCAATATAATCTATAAAAATGATTGCAACTTGAAAAAGGAGGTAATTTTAAAAATTTTGTCAATTCTTTTATCACTATAATGCTATTTTAACATTTGGCGTTCTTATACTTTGTCCTTCTGTTCACTTTAAATCGAATCTGCCCTTCCTATTAACCTCTTGACTTCCTGGAGTGACGAAATTTCTCGTCACCTCAGAAATGACCTTGAAACACAGAGTGACAAGAAAATCTGTCACAAAATTTTCAGTAAAATTGCAATTTAAACAATTTTCATCTAATTTACACAAAATTGTTTAAAATGTGTAGAAATGATCTCTGCCATATAATTTTACTAAGTCGAGCATCTCAAGTTGTCTCCTATGTGATAAACTGTCAAAAGATGGCAAAAATGAAAAATGCTCTGGTTTAAACAGATTTTAGAGCCTGGGATTCAAAAGGTTAATGGAGAAATTACTGACATCTTGTGTTCAAGGATGAAGTGAATTAAAGCTTAAATACTGATCCCTAAGTATCAGCATATAAAATTTGAGTCAAATCCGTCTATTGGTACTTGAGTTACGAAAAATGGCCGCCATTTTGAAATTCAGCTGCCATCTTAAATTCGAATTAAATCCGTGAACTAGTATTTGAGTTATCCAAGATTAATGTTTTACAAAAATGGCAACCATTTTGAACTCAGCCGCCATATAAGAAATTCCTTCTCGGACAGAGATCCTACACCTATAAGGCATAAGCCTATAAAATTTGAACCAAATCCGTCATCCAGTATTTGAGATATAGCCCGGACACAAGAATGACGTCTTGTTTATATGCAGGCAATTTTTACCGGTTGTTTTACAAAATGCCCTGTTATTCTTCTAGGGACTTTTCAATTTTTCCATGTTAAATTTATGATTTCCATTAATTTTGCCTGTTGTTTTCATTTATTTAGCCTGTTGTGAGAAATTCTAGTGAAACCCCTCATGATGTAGATAAATGTTACCTTTTATTGCAATCTACTTTTGCTCCAAATTGGGAAATTGAGATCATTTTTCTAATTTTTGAAAACCTGAGGCTTATCCATAATTAATCACTATAATCCAATTGAGATTTTCATTATTTTTGGACTAAATTGAAGATAACAACTGTTCTATTGTCAAACATGGAATGATTGGTCCGAAAATACTCCAAGTCACAAATTAAGCTGTCAGAAAGCTTTTTGCAATACCATACCTGATCCTTTAACTTAGAACACATGATTTTGTGGCATTATTACTTTATGAAAGGATAGGTATCGATATGGAGAACTGAATTCAATAATGTTTTTCTCTTAAACCAATCATTGAAAACATTCTGTAAAAAACATGGTATTTTATGTAATGTTGACTGATTGACAACAATTTAATGCGAAAATTATTTAGAAATATTTTATATAACTGTTTTTGTTAAAAATTTTTGTTTTTTAGTGCAATTGTTTTTGCTCCTTTCTACCAATTCTTGAGAATGAAATAAAATGTCTTTCCGAACCTTGTTGGAGGTTGTTGGAACAAAATAGCATATACAACATGTTTTTAGACCTCTCAATATTATAGTTATACAAAGGAATTTTTGGTTGATTTTAAAAAAATATTCAAAAAATTAAAACAAAATCCCCCCAAAATAGATAAAAATCAAGAAAAAACTTTTAGTTCATTAACAAGAAACTTTTTTAAAATCAACCAAAATTTCCTTTGTACAATTACAATATTGAGAGACCTAAACATGTTGTGTTCATTTCGTTTTGTTCCAATGAGGTTCGGAAAGATGTTTCACTTCACTCTGGAAACATGATACCAAGAACAAAACAAGTGTTTGATGTGTTTTTTAAAACAATATAGATGAAAGTATGTATATCTATTTCAAATTATATTGTTACCATTCAAAAGATGGCCATTAAATTGACAATTTGTAAGATTTCAGAAATTTTTGATGAGTGGTTTAAGAGAAACGTGTGTTCAAAAAGTTCGCCATATCGATGCCCATTCTTTGGAGATTTTGTACTTTACCTGCCATGTTGGTGTGTAGTCATCCCCTATTACATATTTGTCTGTATCAGTTGGGTCAAACGGATAGTAGTCATGGGGACAAAATCTGGAATAAAATGCAAAACATTAAGTGTCCGTGTTAAATATTCATTGCATTTAATGCATTGACTTTACAACTTTATTGCATAAATGACGGGGCAATTATTTTTGCATGATGAACAGGTATTGCCCTCCATAGAATGAAATATTTGCTTAATATTCTCCACTTTATTGCATAAACTAGACAACAGCAACGCCAAAGCGTAGCAAATCCCATCGAACAGCCATGGCTGGTATTTTTACAAACGAAGTATATAGGAAAAATGACACCCATTTTTCAAAATGGCCACCTTATACCAAAAGTGTCATTAGACAGTGTGCCATGCTTATAGTATTCACATACCAAATATGAAAAGAATGGCTCCACTACTTTTCCAGTTATAGTAAAATACGTTAAAATGGTGGTAAAATGGCCACCTTCTACCAAAAGTGTCATTAGACAGTGTGTCATGCTTACAGTATTCACATACCAATTATGAACAAAATCGCTCCACTTCTTTTCGAGTTACTGCAAAAATCGTAAAATAACGAGTAAAGGCCGCCATTTTTCAAGATGGCTGCCATGTGCTTCTTTAATATCTATATTTCTAGCTTTATTAATGTCTTATATAATTTTTTTACATTTAAAACATATTGCTATTACAGTTTTACATATTGCACCTAAATAACTGTAAAATCGGCACTAAAATGGCCACCATTTTTAAATGAGCAGCCATTTTGAAAATCGCCTTTCCCCCTGACAAAAGGATTAAACATTGAAAATTAAGATTGCACTTTGTTGAGAAAAACCCTTGTGAGATAACTATATAGTAGAGTACTCTAGAAAATAGTGTTTTACCTTAGCAGCCATTCTGAATCATGAACATAGAGTCTCAATGGGTTGATAGAGGTGATTACTACATAGAGACCAATGTCAAAACGCCTGAAATAAAAATTTAATGCGAAATATAGATAGTAGAATTTTATTTTGAAATACATTTTATTGGTCAAAAGTATTTCAGACACCTTACCAAGAGTCAAGAGCTTAAACTATGATCTACATATAACACAAATTAGACCTTATCAGTACAGTAAAACCTGCATATCTGAACACCTCTTTTATCCATACAAAAACTTTTTCCTTTTTCGAGTCCCATTTTCCTTGCATTGAATCCCATAGTTAAAACTTGTACTTTGGGTACTAGGCACACATGGTGTTGTGTTATTAGTTATCTGGAAAAATATATTGGCTACCTTAAATTTTATCCAAACTGCCCCAAAAAGTTTATCAGTTCTAGAAGTTGATATCTTCTATCATGTGTGCGAATTTGGAGAAAATCCAATGAGTGGTTTTCCTGATATTGCGATGACAAGATATATAGAAAAACCTTCAAAGTGGCAGCCAGAAAACCAGATGTTCATCAGTTCTAGAACATGATATACTCTATCATATGTACCATTAAACTATACAGTAGCCAAGCTAGTCATTACGCAGACTCAAACTAGTCATTACGACATCTTCCTATGACAAGTAACCACAATCATATTTACAGAGGTTTTCTACAAAATGGCCTTAAAGTGAATTTTATGCATCAAAAATGGTGGCCATTTTGTAAATAAGCGAGCTTTTGTACCAGGAGTCGTAGAGTTGTTTTCTGTATTGGTGTTGAACAAAAAAGCTTAAAAAGGAATCCTATTGACAGAGGTTTTAAAATGTGCCACTATTGTTTACAGACGGATAAGAGAGTGATTACAATAGCTCACCATGTGAGCTAAAATCCTTGAGATGAAACTCCTCCCAATTAATCAGATGCGAGTAGGTAGTTACCAGTTTCGCCACCAGGTGGCTGATTCGGGGGAAATAACATGGCAGGGTATTACAAAATTCCCTTAAACCTGAATATTCATCAGTTTTAGTGGTTCACTTTTCATATTACTTTATGTATGTGATAGACATACAAATTAAAATATGTCCAGTAAAAGAATATATTTTCTCATATGACTAACAAAGATACAGCCATCTTTTCCCGATGCAAGATATTGTCATCTTTCATCCTAAAAAGTCACACGTGCAAGATGAGATTTACTTGTGACATCACTGGTTTATAAACATCAACAACATGGCAACGAGTTCATCGTTGCTATGCGTATCCATGCTCATTCTACAAAACTTAACTGTGACGTCATATCAATTTTGTTGCCACGCGTATCCATGTATTTTCTACAATATTGTTATGACGTCATAACAATTGAAAAATGAAGTTTCATTAGTTTCTAGCTATTTTTCACTCAGTATTGTTATAAAAAGGTGAAAATATGGCATAATACAGAGTCATATGAGAAAAACTTTCTTATACTCGTACCTGTGCAAGATCGTCCATTCTTGACTCGCTTTGATAATGTTTCTTTATCTGGTCTGCGACTCGATAAAGAAGAATTATCAAAGCTCATCAAGAATGGACGATCTTGCACAGGTACTCACATAAGAACCTCTATATCTGCCCAAAACAAGAAAAGATATTTCACTTTTTTTTGATTTACAACATGGGGTCTATGGGGAATATCCCCGACCTAGAAGTCACATTTTCAAAGAAAATTATATTTTCAAAGTTGATTAACTCTTTTCAAAACCACATTTCTAGATGTAATTTTACATGTAGATTCCAAATATGACATCAGTTTGACTGAATTGTGAATTTTTAATGATGTAAATAAAGATTATTTCTACTCGCATCTAGGACATTTGACCAGTGAAAAGTTAACCTGTCCAAAAAGTAAAAATAATTTTCAATATGGCTCTTCATTTCAAAATGGCTGCCATCTTGAAATTTTCTCCTTAGCACAGCTCAATTATCCCTAGGCATCAGCATACAAATTTTGAACCATATTCGTCAACTGGTATTTGAGTTATCAAATATTACGTTTTTTTATAAAAATATTGGCCATTTTGAAATTCAGCTGCAATCTGGATCTTTTCTTGAACAAAGCTCCTTTGTCTCTAGGTAGCAACATATGAAATTTGATCCAAATCTGTCATCTGGTATTTGAGTTACCAAAGATTATGCCTTTGTCTGAAAATGGCAGCCATTTTTAAACTCAGCTGCCATCTTGAAAATTCTTAAGAGGCATTAGCATATTAAGTCTGAACCAAATTCGTTCACGGGCACTTGAGTTATCAAAGATTATGTTTTTTTGAAAATAAGTGGCCATCTTGAAAAATTTTCTTGAGCAAAGCTCCTTTGTCCCTAAGCACCAGCATATAAAATTTGATTAGAACCAAATTAGATAACTAGTACTTGAGTAACCAAAGATAACATATTTTACAAAAAATGGTGGCCATTTTGATTGAGGATAATGAGAAACAGCTATGCCATTAGTTTATTTTTAAAGAGGAGTCCTATGTACATGTAGTAACTCACCTGCCATCTATAAGGAATGGATGGTCAACATACTGCTGTATGAAGGTCTTGTCTGCACTTAAATCCAAATCTACAATACAAAACAAACAACATTTAGCCACATATGAGAAGAATGAACACCACGTTTTTTGATATGGATGTGAGTAAAGTCTGCTCAAAAATCCTATTTTCAAAATGGTTTTCAAGCATCAGATAATTGTGATAATACCCTCCCTGCATGGAGGGTCTAGTTATAAACTACTCTCTGCCTAGTATAGACTATATTACAGTTTAGCAGCCCCGCCCCGAAGATTGGTGCCTGTGACAGCCCAGGTAATAAATCATTTCAAATCAGTCTCACTGATCCTTTCTCGACCAATCAGCGAATTGGAAGGAACATGTGCTAAATACGTGCCCATTAACTATGCGGTGATGTCATAAGAAATGACCATATAAAAACTCGTCTGTATTTCGACGATGAACTCTGATTGGCTCAGTGAGATCAGAAATTTATTGTAAATTGAAAGAGTGAAGACAAAGCTCTCTTATAAGAAGTGAAGTCAAACGAATGCAAAGTGTATTGTAATAAAATAATGATTTTCATCTGTAACTTTTAAATAACTTATACTTATAAATATACATATACAGGGTGGTCCAAAAAATAGGACACTCATATTTCAAAAATAAATATTGGTTCTCTTGAGAAAAACATGTCATATTATATACCAGTGGATAGGGAATTTACTTATCTTTAATTTGGTATATCACAAATTCAAATTTATTATAATATCTGTCAACCAGTGTCCATAATATAAATGACCTTAAGGGACTGAGTAGATGTAGGGAGTTCATAGTAAAGCGATTCTGTTAGTTCTCCAAATACACGGTACTGGCAAATATTGACATCAGATGATCCAATTATGTTGTTTTTGGACCATCCTGATATGAGCTATTTTCGAATCATTACATTGTCCAACAAGATGGGGTTCCAAGCAATGGATTTCACAACTGTGTCAAATGTTTTAAGGAAAATATGCCTAGATTCATCCCCCTTAATCACTGCCTCGCCCAGATCACCCGATTACCCAACGTCTGCGACTACCACGTATGGGGAGGACTGACAGAATTGGTATACCAAGGAAGCATTAAATATGATTGAATGTCAATATCAGATTTTAAATGATTTTCCCACATATCCCATAAATCACATTCTTTTAAAATGTTTTGAAATTGTGACACCCATGATTTCCTACCACAATGATAGATTTGAAGGTTCTGTTGATATGCTATATTAAGTTTGTGTTGAGATTGAAGAGTAAGTAATCGGCACCAGTATTTTAATTTTTGAACTTTCATTCTTATAATGAGGGGATACCTTCCAAATTCACCTAGTATTGCTAGATTTGAAGTTGTGTTTTAAAAGTTGCTTTAAAATCTCAGTTGTGATTTTTTTATGAACTTTTAGATTGTGCAAGTACTTCATTACCATATTCAAGTATTGGTAGAATCAATTTATCAAAACGATTTATATTAGTGCTACTAGGGCTGAAACGGATAGTAAATTCTCTTACCGAATATTCGGCCAGCAAATACCCATTCGGCCACGAATATTCGTTAAAAACCCGAAAGTAAATATGAATTGTTTGATTTCTAAGAGCATGTGAAGTAAATACGCCAAGTTTGAATAGAATGCTGGCTGTGTTATGTAAACCATTTGTTTGTTTGTAATATTATTACATTTATTTAATGCCAATAAAGCATTTTATTTACCCATTTGTTTGTTAATTTCACCAATAAAACAGTAAATAAAAACAAAAACAAAAAATACAATCTTCTCCCGGCGTAGGCTATTATTTTCCTACTAATCCTACTATCACTGAAAACCAAATATACGATGGTTCTAAAACACATAGCATACGTAATTACGTAAAGAAACGATTGCCGATTACTGTAGAACTTTTTTTTTTGTATTCAAATTCACAATAAATAGTGAAGTTCTAGACAATAAGATATTATTATGCAACGGTTGTGTTATGAATGATTTTCAATACTTATTCCAAGCGCATGCGCTAAAAACCGAACCTAAAAATGAACCTGGCGCAGATTGCCTCCCGTACAAACGAATGTGCTTAACTTTATATTCAAGTATTTTTTACTCTTATGGATGCCACTGGATTAATCAGCAGTTCTCAGAGGTTACAAGTATTAGCTGCAGATGACTCTTAGGTGAGTAGCTGTGTAATCTATATCGGGATTGCCTTAGAATTGGGTTTGTCTTGACGGGAGACTAAATCGACGCGCATGCGCAGTCAATCATTTAATATTCGAATACCACAAAATGCCATTCGAATATCACCTCAGACCTATTTGCAACCGAATACTTGAATATTCGTTTCACCCCTAAGTGCTACGTTTACTGGTAGATTACCTAGTACTTTATAATAGCCTCTAAGCTTAAAGATGGCTTTTGTTGCTTTTTGATTTGAATTTGAATTTGACTTGAGATTTTTGGTAGAAAGAATGCAGCCTAAATATTTATACTCTGATACTTCATCAATTATTTGGTTAAGGACTGAAAAGTTAACCAAGCATGCAAAGGTTTTTGTAAATAACTTGGATTTGGAGCACAGAGCACAATTTCATCAGCCCATGCAGGATGCATTTAGAGCATCATTTACATCTGGTATGAACTAGACAACAGCAACACCAAAGCGTAGCAAATTCCATCGAACAGCCATGGCTGGCATTTCTACAAACAAAGTACAGTATATAGCAAAAATGGCAGCCATTTTTCAAAGTGGCCACCTTCTACCAAAAGTGTCATTAGACATTGTGCCATGCTTATAGTGTTAACATACCAAATATGAACAAAATCACTTCAGTACTTTTTGAGTTATAGTAAAATATGTTAAAATAGCAGCCCTTCTGAAAAATGGCCGCCTTCTACCAAAAGTGTCATTAGACAGTGTGCCATGCTTATAGTATTCACATACCAAATATGAACAAAATCGCTCCAGTACTTTTCAAATTACAGTAAAATACGTTAAAATGGTGGTCATTTTTCAAAATGGCGGCCTTCTACCAAAAGTGTCATTAGACAGTGTGCCATGCTTATAATATTCATATCTCAAATATGAACAAAATCGCTCCAGTACTTTTCGAGTTATAGTAAAATATGTTAAAATGGCAGCCAATTTTCAAAATGGCTGCCTTCTACCAAAAGTGTCATTAAGACAGAGTGCCATGCTTATACTTTTCAAGGTACTTTTCAAGTTATAGTAAAATATATTAATATGGCGGCCATTTTCAATGAAGGACCCACGGTCCTGTGCTCACACAGTTTGGAACCTTCAGAGGAATGTATATCCTGACTTTCAAACAAAAATATTGATTTGGATTTGTAGTCTTGAACTTTGAGAAACTTAGATAGCACAGTTGTGTGACCTAGTTTGATGACCTTTGACCTTGAAAATTTTACTAATTCAGAGCTCAGTAAGGTCTTTTGTGATTAAGCTGACCAAAATTTACATCCAAAAATCAATTTGAAAAATCAACTTTTTTGACCTTTCGAAGGTCACTGAAGGTCAAGTAAAGGTCAAATCCTAAAACTAATGTCAGATTTGAACTCCTGGAAACTTGAAGATGATTTTCAAAAAACATTTGGTCAAATTGAAGCAAGTTGAAAAATAACTTATTTTTACTGTTTTTTGACATCAAATATCTCAAAAACTGTAAAAATTTGATGCTGACATATATTGAGCAATATGTAGGGAATGATCAAATCTAGTAATGATGTAATTCATTGCAAGAAATTTCCAATTTTAAGGCAAACTTTCCTACTTTTTGTCAAATTTTATAGAGTAAACACCAAAAACTGTAATTCCAAGAGCTTTGAAATCTTCAGAGGACATAAGTTGCATATACAGCAACTACTAAAAGTTATTTGAAAGTTCTACTTCAACAAAGTGTCTAGTATTGACAGAAAATTTGACTTTTTGATGTCAAAATCAGCAATTTCTCGGAAACCGGGCGAACTTGGGAAATGGCGATGATAGGTCAAATAGGCATTATGGATATGCATAAAATGAATGTGGATATGACTTAATCCGAGTAGCAGTTTTACGGACGGACGGACCAACGGACGGACGGACGGACCAACGGACGGACCGAAGGACGGACGGACGGACCAACGGACTGACTTCTTGTAATATATAGATACACTGTCCCACATGTTTTGTTAAAGAGCAACTGAAGCATACAATCTTTCCACAAAGATAAATTCAGACCAACATTTGGATATCTACATCATATAGGTAGATTATAATTGATTTTATTTACTTGTCATATCCAGTATTTAATACATTATAGGTTTAAACCCATATTAATATTGAAGTCATATTTGGTAAGTTAAAATCCAGTATATATTAATTATAGGAAATACCCATATTAATATTTAAGTCATGATTGGTAAGATAAAAATCCACATTAGACTGACGGACCAACGGACGGACGGATGGACGGACGGACCAACGGACCTCACTGGGTGAGCCAAAAATAATTTATTTTTACTGTTTTTTTACGTCAAATATCTCAAAAACTGTAAAAATTTGATGCTGACATATATTGAGCAATATGTAGGGAATGCTTAAATCTAGTAATGATGTTATTCATTGCAAGAAATGATCAAGTATAAGGCAAACTTTGAGAAACTTGGCAATCACAAAACCTGCCATTGACCAGGGTTCGAAATTCACGGCTGCCTGACTGCCAATAGCAGTCACTTTTTTCTCATGGCAGTGAACTTGAAAAAACCCACTGCCATTTGGGCAGTGGACTTTTTTTTACACATCAGGATCCTGGTCAACCTTAACCGAATATATGATTGATAATGTACATGAAACTTATGTACATCAAATCAAACTTGTTTCTTATTTTTCTGATTTTTGAAATAATTTTGCGATCTTTTTCCAGTTCTGCTTTCAATAACAATTGATATATTTTCTAATGTTCGTAAATATACTGCATTGCTTTTCCAATCATCAAGCACCCTCCCCTATTGGTAAATAAATTTAGATAGGTAGAAAACAACTTACTTTTCTGCCATAGGATAACATGGTGAATTGACAAAGTTTGAGAGAATATTACAAAAATCCTAGCCCATCGATTTCACTCATATTAACAGACAATAAAGAGATATCCTTAAACTTACCTCAGAAAGTCTTGAAAAAAATATCCCACGAAAATCAAAAGAACCGCTGGATTGTTCACACGCGTAGTGATTTTTCAATGGAAAATTAACATGGCCCAGCCAACACACCCCCTATCTCATCAATATCTACCAAAAAATAATCCAATTTTTTTCATGAAAGTTTTCTGCTTTCATCCAATGCCTAAGAGTCTGTACTTACTTATTAACCAGCAAAAAGGTACATTGCATCCTAATATGTCCCATTTATACACCATCCAACACCCAAAGAGTTTTCAAAATGGACTACTTTTCCTATACGATGAGTAAACAAAAGGCCACGTGAGTTGTATTGTACCATAGACTGCAATGAAATTACCACATGGTGCTCTACATCTAATGGAACAGCGGCCTGAATTATTGGAAAAAAGCTGAACCGGTAAAATACTATTCAAATATCTTTAAATATCGTAAACATCTCGGCCCCTTTTCACATTTCTAAAGATAAATGAAACTGTTGTAATCAAAATATCACCAAATTATGAAACATTTTGTGAATACTCATAGAATTAACCGTGAGAGATCCGTCAAAAGATATGAGAAACATATCCATTATCACCCACCAATATTTATTTTTGTATGGAAAATTCGATTCGTGTTTTGATCAGATCCGTAACTAGATTACACATTCTAATGCATGTTTATTAATTTACTGAATTTTCCCTTCAGAGAATGCCTCCAAAGCCATGAGCAGCGATGACAATGATAGTGATGAAGGCTTGTTTGATGCAGCTGACATTTGATTTTATTGTTATCATTTATTGTTAGTTGCTCTTAGACTTCAAGATGTCCCTAGTCGTCCTACTACATGATATCATCATGGCCATTGGGAAAGGCTAGTTGCTCTAGGTGAATAAAAATGATTTTATTCATGGCAGTCACTTTTTTGTTTTGGCAGTCACATTTTGAAATTATGAAAAAACTGACTGCCAGCCTGGCACTTATGTTTTTGACCCGAGTCGTGAACCCTGCCATTGACTTTATACATGAGAAAGTCCTACTTTTTGCCAAATTTTATAGAGTAAACACCAAAAACTGTAATTCCAAGAGCTTTGAAATCTTCAGAGGACATTAGTTGCATATACAGTAACTACTAAAAGTTATTTGAAAGTTCTACTTCAACAAAGTGTCTAGTATTTACAGAAAATTTGACTTTTTGATGTCAAAATCTGCAATTTCTCGGAAACCGGGCAAACTTGGGAAATGGTGATGATAGGTCAAATAGGCATTATGGATAAGCATAAAATGAATGTGGGTACGACTCAATCGGAATAGCAGTTTTAATTTGTGCAGTCAATGTTGACGGACGGACCAACAGACGGACCAACGGATGGACGGACGGACCAACGGACGGACGGACGGATCAAAGGACGGACGGACGCCTGGTTGATCCCATAGGCTCACTGTGTGAGCCAAAAAGTGTAATTATACAGTGTGCCATGCTTATGGTATTCACATATTAAATATGAACAAAACCCCTCTACTACTTTTTGAGACAGCAAAAATCGTAAAGTAGCAAGTGAAGGCCGCCATTTTTTAAGATTTCTAGCTTTATTAAAAGCAGAATCAGATCTATGGGGGTGACAAAATTACAGGCAACATGTACAATTGACTTACCTATCTATTCCTTACAATCTCAAATACAATATCTCCAAAAGATTCATGGTATGTTATAAATTGGAGAAGTTATAATGGTTTCAAAGCGCAAAAATGGGTGAAAAATTTTCAAATTCCCCCCAATAATAAGAATGGTAACCATTCTTATAGAAAAATAATACATTATTGTAAAAATCTTAAGTTTTCCTGAAATAAAGTGTGCACTTTTGGGATTTTTAGAAAATAGACATGAAAAGGAATGACATAAGCCAGAAATATTCTAAAATTGAAACAATTTTTTGTGAGGCTGCTCGCTAGATCTGATTCTCTGTTTAATGTCCTATATATTTTTTTTACATTTAAAACATATTGCTATAACAGTTTTACATATTGTGCCTAAATTACTGTAAAATCGGCACTAAAATGGCCACCATTTTTAAATGAGCAGCCATTTTGAAAATCAGCTTTCCAGCAGAATTTCTACCCCCATAAGGTATATGTGTACACAATATGAACAAAATCAGGCCAACAGTATTTGAGTTATTGCCCAGACGGACGGACGGACGGACGGATGGAGGCGTTCCCTATATCAACCCGAACTTTGTTTGATGGGATAATAACCTGAAGAGAAAAGTACTAAGGGTACCCCCTTGTATTATTCCCACCTCATTTGCGAATGTATATTTGATACCAACATCAGTCCTAGCACAAGATTTTGATTTAGAATACATTGATTTAATAATGTTTAACATATTGCCTGTGATACCTCTTTGAATAAGTTTATATATGAGCATGTTTCAATCAATTAAATCAAAAGCCTTTTTCAGATCAATAAAGCAACAATATAAGGGCTCTCTGATAAAGGCACGTTATTTAAAATAAATAGATTATCAGCTGTTCTACTAAATTTTTCATATGCACCTTGAAGTATATTATGTTTATGATTAGATACTGTATGAAATTCAAGTCAATTATGAAGGACAATTTCAAAAAAAGAACAACATGTAAATCCTTTTAGTGGCAAATTTCTTAAAATCTCATTAAAATGAGACTTCAGCTAGATTTCAAAGCTATATAGCAATGGTTATTTGACCTCTCACTGACCTTGCATTTTTGTGATCTTGACCCCTCTATGATTGTTGCTCTTTTGGACCCACATGGTATCTGGATGCTCCTTTGCCTGTAAAAGTATATATCACAACCATATATAGAATCATTACAATAATATCTCAAGTGATTTCAAAGTAAGCATTTAGTGAAGAATGGTTTCTAATTTATATCTTATTTCACCAAAAAATACTAAATGACTTTTCAAGCAGGGATTTTAAAGATATTGATTCTGGGTGATCAAAATTAAGCTGAAAACAATGGATCGCATGAGTTTTCCCTATGGGAAAATAACATAACATGGGAAATATTTCTGTGTAAATTCATCACTCTGGTAATATATTAATAATAACTTAAGTTCATTTACTTCAGAGTAAAATGTTTTATTTTCGACGTTTCGCTAATTATCCCATTAGCTTTATCAAGATTACATTCAAAATGGAAGTACACAGTTATATTATTTATGACGTAATAATTCAACAATACAATACCCAGGTAACAATAAACAAACAATGACAATAAACTATGACAAAACTATGTCATAGTTTGTTGTCATAGTTTTTTGTTTTGATAAAGCTAATGGGATAATTAGCGAAACGTCAAAAATAAAACATTTTACTCTGAAGTAAATGAACTTAAAGCAGATATGAAATGGTATTTTTAACCTAAAGGAATCAATATAATTTTTTGATAAATGTATTTGGACATGTTTTCTCATCAGTAGTGTGAAAATTATTTCACTCTAACGATCGTTATAGCTGCTTAATAAGCAATATTCGAATTGGTTGTGACGTTATTGGCCCCCACGTGATCTCTCACTGGTCCCCACGTGACCCCCGTTTTGGCCCATTAGATCATGACGTCATAATGCCAAAATGTTTTGTTATTTGTTTACACAATAATCATATGGTTGCCGTGACGTTGTGATTACTAAGGAACCAATAAACCAAAGCTATATTTTGTATATGACGTTACCAATCACGTGGGGGCCAATTTGATTGATCAGTTAGTTTTATTTCGTTATCTATGACCGTTAGCAGTTATCTAACATTTGTTTTTAAAATGGCTATCGCAAGAACTCTACGTTGGGCTTACAATGGAGAAAACCGCATTTTTGTAGCTGCAAGTTGAGAAAAGCTATTTCAGTTGTCCTTTAAGTTATTATTAATGGGAAATATTGTTTTCTACTTTATCCCAATTGAAACATTTTTCCTTTTAAGAGGTTAACTGTGTCTACAAATGCAATAATTGATGCATATAAAAACATTGTTTATCTCTCTGAGAGTGGGCATGTTCTCGGCCTTTGGTTTGTTGATCTCTCAGAAAAAGGGGTTGATACCGGCCGGGAGTATGTTTTATAAAGAAAGGGGTTCAAGGAGAATGGGGGTTGCATGAGTCCCATGAACCCTCTCTCACTATGTCCATGCCTCTAGAGTAAAATGTGGACAATAACTTTGAAATACATGTACATGTAGTTCAACAAGATAAAGTTTGCAAATTCATATCAAGTATTTTTCTGCATTTGGAGCAGTTTTTTAAATGGCCATAAAATCGTGACCGTTAAAAAATAGACCAATGAAACTTAGTAGAATGAAAGAACATTGAACAAGGTTTAATTGTGCCAAATATGTCACTTGTGCCAAATAAGTCACTTATTAATCCATTTCCGAGCAAAAATACTTTTCCGTATTTATTCTAACAATATCACTTCAAATGAATGAATGGATTTTGGATAATAGGAAAGAATGAAACTAATTAATCAGGCATGACACACAGACAAGCTATTTTGACTGATTGACAGATGCTATCACCTAATAGCTGGCACAAACACTATGGAGGTCTCATTTCAGAGCTCCGGAAGGGGAGTTTTTGACATACTGTTTTAAATTTCTTAGTTCTCACAGAATATTTACTTGATCTTTTTTTATAACTTGCTAAGAATACTCTTAGGCTACTTTGTACATTTTGGCATGGGAGTTTGGTTCATCAGTTGCCGAGAAAATACTTGTCAATAAGTGTCTCATTTTTTTGGGACACCCAATATAATATGTAATACAAATATTCCTGCATTACTGCATTATTTGGCACATTTAGTGAGAATGTTTCTTGAAAATCTTTCCAAAATAAGGATGAAACTGAAGGTTTGTAAATGGGCCGGGTGTTTGTTTCACACCATCCGAGGAGTTTATAATTCATCAGATATGTTCATCATAGTTTGTTTGTTTCTGAATGACAGGGGGCCCAAGCCTACACCCTATTATTCTTGCTACTAAAATCATTTGGCTGGTTTCACAAGCGCATTTAATTTTATGTGTTGTCCAAGAAGTAATGCACTATATGCTCTAACTTTATCAATGATTGATATTTTTCTGTGAGATTTTCAGTGAATGTTCCCTAGAGAGATTTTGATTATTCTATAAATTTTCAGTTTGACTGATAATACTATGTTGATGTTATAACAAAATCAAGTTGTATTTTGTGTAGCGATAAGAAGTATGCTCAAAAATACATTTTAAGATACTAAATTATTAGGAGCACCTCCTAGACTTCATGGATGTATATTGCAGTGTCCCATTTCACATGTTCTTAAAATATTGGCCTTTGCATGTTATGTACTTTTGATGCCTGTCAGGTCAAACACTCTTAGCAATTTCTTCAACCATGACTTGTGGAGCTTTTGCCTCCCATGTTTGGAGTTGTCATCCAGGGTCCAGTCATCACTTTTAAAGCTCTTCTGCCAACCCATAATTGAAGTTCTATCTGGTGTATACTCCTTTTATAGTTTCTTTATGGTAGCATGATGTTGTGTGGCTGTGAGTCCAAGTGAAGTATGAAATTGGGCCACCAAACGCAAGGCCTTCTGTTATCAGGTGAGAATCGCAGCCATTTTTGCAATTTCTTGACCGTGACTGAATTTGAATTTGTGACTATTGAACTGTGGTATTATGACATCACAGTGCTAAATGTCATTATTTGTACTTGATGAACATCATGCTGAATAAATTTAACAATTTCCCAAACATTTTGATCATTTAAAAGAAAGAAATATTAATAAAATAACACTTTGGTACTTTTCATAATTAGAAAAATTGGTACCTGCCCCACCCACCCCTACCCCCATGTTGCTATAGTAACCATTTTAAGACTTAATATTAATATATGATGCTGAAACTTCAGGATATAAGACATAAAACTTCAATTGTTATATACAACAAATTTCAGCTGAATTGAAGAATATTGAAGAAAGTTAGAGCATATAGTGCATTACTTCTGGGACAACCCTCCTACACAAATATACCAAGCTAGATTTACATTTACATTTTGCGCAAAAATAAGAGTACTGGTTGTTAAGTAAAACCAGAATAAAACAAAGCAGGTCAATAAGGAAAAATATCAAAAATAACTCATGACGTCATAACTAATTTGGTGCCAAATATAACGATTCGGCTGAATGAGCCTGATAAGAATTGATTCGAGAAATGGAACTGGCACATTATGTTTAGCAAGTTGTTAATTTCACGATTTGCTATCAACGATTTGTAAACCAGAACAACGGCAACGCCAAAGCGTAGCGAATCCCATCGAACAGCCATGGATGACATTTTTACAAACAAAGTATATAGCAAAAATGGCAGGCATTTTACAAAATGGCCGCCTTCTTCCAAAAGTGTTATTAGACCATTTGCCATACTTATAGTATTCACATACCAAATATGAACAAAATCGCTCCACTACTTTTCGAGTTATAGTAAAATATGTTAAAATGGCGGCCATTTTGAAAAATGGCCGCCTTCTACCAAAAGTGTCATTAGACAGTGTGCCATGCTTATAGTATTCACATACCAAATATAAACAAAATTGCTTCACTACTTTTCGAATTATTATAAAATACGTTAAAATGGCGGCCATTTTTCAAAATTTTTTTCAAAATGGCCACCTTCTACTAAAAGTGTCATAGGACAGTGTGTCATGCTTTTAGTATTCACATACCAAATATGAACAAAATCGCTCCACTACTTTTCGAGTTATAGTAAAATACGTTAAAATGGCGGCCATTTTGAAAAATGGCCGCCTTCTACCAAAAGTGTCATTAGACAGTGTGCCATGCTTATAGTATTCACATGCCAAATATGAACAAAATCGCTTCACTACTTTTCGAGTTACAGCAAAATGGGTTAAAATGGCGGCCATTTTTCAAAATGGCGGCCATTTTTTAAAATGGCCGCCTTCTACCAAAAGTGTCTTTAGACAGTGTGCAATGTTTATAGTATTCACATACCAAATATGAACAAAATCGCTCCACTACTTTTCAAGTTACAGCAAAAATCGTAAAATAACGAGTAAAAGCCGCCATTTTTCAAGATGGCTGCCATGTGCTTCTTTAATATCTACATTTCTAGCTTTATTAATGTCCTATATAATTTTTTTACATCTAAAACATATTGCTATTACAGTTTTACATATTGCACCTAACAAATTCGGCACTAAAATGGCTGCCATTTTGAAATGAGCGGCCATTTTGAAAATCGGCTTTCGAGCAGAACTTCTACCTCCATAGGGTATATGTGTACAAAATATGAACAAAATCGGGCCAACGGTATTTGAGTTATTGCCCGGACGGACGTACGGACAGACGGACGGATGGACGGACAGACGGACGGACGGAGGCGTTCCCTATATCCCTCCGAACTTCGTTCGATGGGATAATGATGAAACGTTTCGGGAAATGGCCTCCAGATCCGTTTTGATTTATCAAAGATTATATTTTTTTGAAAAATGGTGGCAATTTTGAAATTAAGCCACCATCTTGAAAATTCTTTCTTGAAGAGAGCTACTGTGTCCTTAGGGATCTGCATATAAAATATGAATCAAATCTGTTCACTGGTATTTGAGGTAAAAATATTACTTTTTTAAGAAAAATGGTGGTCACTTTATAATTAAGCAGCCATCTTGAAAATTTCTTCTTGGGCAAAGCTTTTTAGTCCCTAGGTATCAACATATAAAATTAAATGGCCATATTGAAAATTCCTTATAATAAACCTCTAAAATGAAATCCATCAGCAGGTATTTGAATTTTTGCCCAACACACAGACAAACGAACGAATGGACGAACAGATGGACGGACCATCTAGGATGACAATATGGCCAAACACTATATGGTGGGGACATAATGATGTAACCTACAGTACATTTATTTAAGCTGATTTTCAAAGCCTACATTTCATTGCCAGTAAAAACTAAGTGTGAGAACACCTTTCTATAGTGGACACCTCCAATTGTTAACACTTTTGCAATCTCTTTTTACATGCTTTATCCGTTGATGTCATATCAGAATACTGTACTTACATACATAAGGAGTGCATCCCTGTCAGCTGGCATCTTGAATGCTCTCGGAATGTGTTTAAGTGGTGACAAAGCTAAGCTGACCTTATTTGTGATGAATCCAGATCCTGGAAAATGATTCACCTGAAATCAAAAATATGTTCAATCACTATTATTTCAACCAGGTTTAAAGATGCATGTTACTATGGAGACAGTAATAATTCTCTTTTGGAACAAAATGGACTAAAATATCACACCATGGGCTCAAACAAAACTTTAACAAAATAGACCTGGCATAATATACATGCATCTATAAATAGTATGTTATGTATTAGAAGTAATAAAACACCGTTGAACAATTTTGCACCATTGAATAGGATATCAAGAAGGATCATGTACATGTAATGTTATATATTAATAATAATAATACATACATGTATAAGTTTGCCAATATTGTAATGACTGTTATGTGTGTTGAGTGTCTGTTATGTATGTACATATATCTTTATTGCCCTTTATGAAAAGGAGATACCATATTCTCTGTAACTAGAAAAACAGCAATACTCGAAGGAGTAACAAATCCTACCGAACAAAACATATTTTGAAAATTGCTCCTTTGTCCCTAAGTAGCAGCATATAAACCAAATCTTTCAACTGGTATTATCACATTTTTTAACGACAAATGGCAGCCATCTAGTGGCCATCTTGAAAATGACTTCTTGACAAGGCCACCATTATGAGTTCATGCATTCAATGAGTTATTGTTTATTAGGTTATTTTACGATAGAATGGCAGCCATTTTGAATTCAGCTGCCATCTTGAAAATACTTTCTTAAACAGATCTACTTTATCCTTATGAATCAGCATATAGAAATTTAAGCAAATCCATTCACGGATGTCATTTGTTTTTGCTGCATTGGTTTCTTCATTTATTTTCTTCTTTCTTTGTCTTGATTTGATTGCGATGTTAGTAATCTTTCTTCAGGGTCCACAGACTTGAGACTGCGCATAGGTGGGTTAAACGTTTTGATCCGGACGGAGGACAGATGGACAGCTTTCCTATATCACTCACGAACTTCGTTTGGTGGGGTAATTAGCACCCAGGATGGTTAGAAAATTAAAAACACTTCCTTCAGACCAGTCTAATAAGCACCCATATTTGAAAGAAGTCAAAAATCCCCGAAAATAAGAAGCATTTTGAAGAAAACTGACAGATGTACGGACAGACGGACGCACCTAGGCTGACAATATGGCCCCTTTGTGGTGGGGGCATAAAAACTATTACAGACTTTCCAAGGATGTGCTTACTCGTTGATGTGGTTTAATATTCTGGATAACATCTCTGAGTTTGCTAAATGGGTAGTCGTGTGACCACAACACATCCCAATCAGAGGACTCTGTTCCACGCATATACCCAATACGACTGAACACAGCAAGTACATGGTCCAAGTATCCAGAATGAATCTGAAATGCACAACATATACAAGTATGTTCCAAGGTAAATAGGAGAGAATGAGACAGATATTATACTTTAGCCTTTATATTAGGTAATACCTATTAATACATGATTATTATATATACATTAGGCCTCCAAGACTTCAACTAACTTGAACATCAGTACTCGTATCAAACTCACCAACTGCGTTCATTCCACTCAAATCAAAGTTCTCACGACTTGGAATTCAGAAGAAATACTAAATCCCAATTTTCATACATGTTAATGACTATTATATATATCCACTCTGTAAATGAAAAGTTGTGCTTACATTCTTTGCATTTATCCAGACAATGGGCTGAATTTTATCTGCCATGCCCCCTCCCTCAACAATGGCTGAGCCATAGCTTCCATGATGACCCTGGAGACGTCGTAACTCGAAGATGTTGATGAAAGTCAGAAAGACACCAAACAGGAGCACAGCAATGACAATATACAACATACGATTGGGTGACCCGATCATCTTTCTTCGTGTTCTCAGATGTCTGGGAATCTCTGCATCCTAGTTTCAGATAATAACACAAAATAATTTATTAAAATTTGCTTTTAAAACAAAGATTTTCTCTGACAAACTGCAATAAATAGCACTGATCTCCCCAGGTGGGTGCAAAATTCTCATTTTCAGAATTAAGACCAAAATTTGTCAAAATATGCCAATTTTTCATGATATTTCTCATTTTCAAGTGGGTGCAAATAGATTTTCAGGTGGGTACAAACCTATTTTCAAAATCTCAGGTGGGTGCTGCACCCACTTGATTTAATGCTGGGGAGATCACTGAATAGTGTTATTATTGAACATACACATAGGCTGGGGGAATACTTTCAGCAAAATAAAAGGAGAGTATCCTATGATATTTCAAAGATATTATTTTCATCCATGAGTGGATATTGACCATGCCTCCCCACAAGTGAGTGTATCAAGAGAGTGAAGATGGGTAATATTCACGTGTGGATAAAAATGATAGCCCAAGAGACTCAAGGATAACATATGCAAACTTTATTACTATGCTCATTCTAAAAATTGACTACATATAAGTAGATAATAGCAACGTCAAGGCATAGCAAATCCCATTAAACAGCCATGGTTGCCTTTTTTGAAAATGATAAGCCAAATTTTCACTAGAGAGTGTAAAAGACTTCAGAGCATTCTCAATATTTCAACAAAATTGCTAGATACTTCTTTTCCTGTTAGCATTCAATGTAAAATAACACACATAAAATGGGCACTCACCATTATTAAATAATTATTTACATATAAAATTTCTACAAAATCCCTAGAATTTACATTTCTAGTTATTGCAAAACATGTAAAATAACACACATAAAAATGGTGGCTTTATTTCAAATGGCCAAATTGTCGAAAAATAGTGTAATTTGCTTCCAAGTAGTCACATAAAATATTTCAACAAAATCGCTCTATCACATCGAGATAAAAATACGTAAAACTACTATTCCAGTTACAGCAAAAATTGTAAAATAGTGTGTAATGGCCACCATTTTCAAGATGGCCACCATGTTTTTTTTTGAATAATTAGATTTGAAATTTAATTTATATCATATACTTGTACACTTTTGCATTTAAAACATATTTTGAAATATGATGATATCCCCATGTGAAATCAATAAAAAAATAGAAAAAGAAAAAAGAGAAGATATGAACTTTGTAAACCTTAACCTACCTTCCAATGTCAATGCCAAGAATTTTCTAAATATTGTTCTCAAATAATTTATCATGTTTTCATATTTTTGTAATAATGTTTATTATGTCTATTTATATTATGTCTAATATAGACTAATTTAAATCGTTAGACTTTAACAATGATTTAAAATAAATTAAACAGTGTTTAATGAGTTATACCACCCACTGTCAGTTTGGAGTCCTATTTGGTCTTATATTTCAGTTGAAGTCGTACAAAATGTTCTTGATGTTAAAGAATTTATGATATTTCTACTTATCTATTAAAAATCTATAAGTGGGACTCCCTCTATAGAAGCTTTGAACTGAATTTACACTTCTTAATGCTGAAATTGATAGTTTATACATACATTTTAAGAAAATAGCTATGTCAAAGAAGATGTTAAGCAAAATATTGACCTGGTAGCTCAGAAAAAATAACAAGACACACAGTGATAAATATCGCACTTTGAAGAGCAAACTGGCCACCATGCAATTTACCGAGCATGGCCAAAACCTAATCAGACCTTGGCACTAGTCTGCTCTTGCATCTGTAAACATTTCAAGTTGACAAGGTTAGCGGTTTTCCTGCAATTTTGATGACAAGAATTTATTTGTAGTCTTGAACTTTGGAAAAATTTAGATAACATTGTTTGGGACCTAATTTGATGACCTTCGACCTTGAAAATTTAACTTTTTCAGACCTCAGTAGGTGTTTTGTAATTTAGCTGACCTAAATTTAAATCCAAAATATCAATTTAGAAAATCAACTTTTTTGACCTTTTCAAGGTCACTGAAGGTCAACGAAAGGTCAAATCTGAAGTCTAAGGTCAGATTTGAACTTCTGAGAACTTGTAGATGTTTTTTAAAAAAAAAATTTGTCAATTTGGAACAAGTTGAAAACTTCAAAATGGCCGCCAAATTGAAAAATTCAAAATGGCCACCATGTAATTCAGCCAGCATACCCAAAACCTAATCAGATCTTGGCAATAGTCTGCTCTTGCATCTGTAAAAATTTCAAGTTGAACGGATAAGTGGTTTTCCTGGAATTTTGATGACAAGATTTGTTGAAAAATTCAAAATGGCCGCCACGTTGTTTACCCAGCATGCCCTTAACCTAATCGGATCTTGCTACTAGTCTGCTCTTGCATCTGTTAAAATTTCAAGTTGAACAGGTAAGCAGTTATCCTGGAAATTTGATGACAAGATTTGGTTTATGTCCGTCCCGCCCGCCCGCCCGCCCGCCCAACAGCACAAGACGACGACAATATAGCATTTTTTCAAAGTGCGATAAAAATGTTTGAATTTTCTCTCTACAGTCCTTGTTGCCCCATATTTACAGTTTTGATTAAATACCTTATAGTTGTTGAGAAAATGTGGCTAGTAAACACGGTGTTATAGCATGACGGTTACGCCACCCCTGAAAACGAGGTTGGATGGCTACGTTCACTGATTTATCCAATAAAATGGCAGCGATGGAACAGAAAACTAAGGTTGGTGCATTATTTTCTACTACTTTGTATCAATGAAAGGATGAACGATTTATGTAAGCATTGCATTTGGTGATGTATTTCGTAATGTATATTTTGAATGTAGTCTTTGCAAATTGATGCCTGGGGATAACATGAAATAAGCAAAAAACTGTTGAGTTTGAAATTCAAAATGACACAAAATTTAGTACTTTGTTTATTTTTGTCTTTAGGGCATGGTCTACATTGCCTAACATTGCCTAATTGACCGCGGGGAATATAGATGTAACCTACATAGGATCATAAAAAGCCAATTGAGCACTGGAAACCACCTAATATGTTCTACTCATTTTATTTGAAATATGAGTTTTGTATATACATGTAGTTGTTAATTTTTGGACAAAATCTACTGTAATTTTATTCATGTTGAATCCATTATTAATAATTTGATTCCAATTTTCATTTCTTATTGCATTATTTAGGTTTTCAAGATTGGTTTCTTTATATTTCCATAAGATTTTTCTAATTGATTTTTTCTTTTGAACTTTAAGATTAATTTGAGTTATAATGGTACTGTGATCAGTCCTTCCAATTGGGTCGGTTATTGTCCAGGATTTAAAAATATCAGGTGATTCTGAAATAATGTGATCAATACATGACTTAGAATGCTTTGTAATTCTTGTAGGTTTGTTAATTAATTGTACATAGTTATAGTCATCAATAGATTCTAAAAGTTCCACACCAGCTAAATTGCTATCATTATTATCATACCAAATAGAATTTTTGCATTTAAGTCACCCATGATCATAACATGATCGAAATTTGTAACATTATTATTAATCTTTTGAAGCTGCCGCTTAAACAGAGAAAAGTATTCACAGGTTTCATTAGCATTCATACTAAAAAGACCTCTTCCTAACTCGGAGTATGGAGTCCGATATTTTTTTATGTCAAAATTCCCATTAATAATGTCATCTTTTGATAGAGTTCCAGCCTCCATGGAATATAATATTAAAAGTAAAATAGACAATAAAGGGTAATTTACAATCACTCAATCAGGTTTCAATATATACCAAAATAAACTTGAGTTATATGTACACTTGTAACATTATTGGTTTTGGTGTGGGGGGCGTGTAATTGTATACTTGTTAATGTAACTATGGCAGCCATCATTTCATAAAATTGATAAAATGACATATTCTAGACAAGGATAGGCATTTGCCATCATAATGTAAACTATGAGGGATTATGACTCATAAACTTAGCTCTGGAGATTTGGGATAGAAATACTGTATGGAACATACGTTATATGGAAACTGTAACCTTATAAGATCTTGTCCAATTTCAGTCATACCTGATTATAAAGGACCATTGATGTTACAGCATCAGGGTATATTAAGTTAAGTTACTAAGGTATAAGTTATAAATTATGACCATCATTTCTACTGTGCCAAAATCATTCAACCAATTTTAAAATGGAATACCAGAACAAGATTTCTCATTTTAGGTTATATTTGTATGTCTAATAATTGTAGATATTATACATATTTACTTTTATTGTGTTTATACACTAAACAGATTTGTTTAGATATTATTTTAAGTTTTAACATTACAAACCACTATTCATTTTGAAGGAATCACTGAAGGTACAGCATTTCAGAAATGTGTAAATTGTTTATATTTCATTATTTTGCGAAATACTAAAAGGAGTAATACCCATACCTTGCTAGTATGCTTGAATGCATCATATAATATCTGCAAAATGATGCACTATGCAATTCATACATGGAATAATTTATTTTGCCATATTGGAATCAAGTATTATCTTTAATCCATTGGATAGATCATGCATTACCTGATGTTGATGTATTGATACTAGAATCAGTCAGTCAATTGTGAGACACCATTTGTCCGATAAAATAAGAAACTAAGTATTAAGACCGGGCATAACATTTCACCTATCATTTATTCATGTTTACTACATCTCCTTCACTAGTTAGTATTACCTTCCCTTTTAAAGCGATGTAAGATATCGTTGAACTGTGGCGCTCATGCACGATATGTGAAAAAATTATCATACTCCATAGTTCCAATGTCATTTAAGCCCGATTTGGTACAAATGGCAAAGTATAACGTCAACTCTAAAGTAGTTTAATTCAATGAAAATTAAAAATATCAAAATCGACAATTACCCTCCGCAATCTTAGGTGCTAATGTTACGGCCGTTACATTTGCTTGGTACTGATCAGTGTCCTTGCTCTGTTACAAATTTCATTGCCCTCTGTTTGCAACCCCTCCCTCCTTGAATATGAAGATGATTTAGAGGTAATATGAGAGAAACTACAGTGTGCCATCAGA